TTGCTCTGGCTAGAACCTCCAGTACTATATTGAATAGGAGTGGTGAGAGAGGGCATCCTTGTCTAGTACCAGATTTCAAAGGGAATGCTTCCAGTTTTTGCCCATTCAGTATGATATTGGCTGTTGGTTTGTCATAAATAGCTTTTATTACTTTGAGATACGTTCCATCGATACCGAGTTTATTGAGGGTTTTTAGCATAAAGGGCTGTTGAATTTTGTCAAATGCCTTCTCTGCATCAATTGAGATAATCATGTGGTTTTTGTTTTTGGTTCTGTTTATGTGGTGAATTACGTTGGTAGACTTGCGTATGTTGAACCAGCCTTGCATCCCTGGGATGAATCCTACTTGATCATGATGAATAAGTTTTTTGATTTGCTGTTGCAATCGGCTTGCCAATATTTTATTGAAGATTTTTGCATCTATGTTCATCATGGATATTGGCCTGAAGTTTTCTTTTCTCGTTGGGTCTCTGCCGGGTTTCGGTATCAGGATGATGTTGGTCTCATAAAATGATTTGGGAAGGATTCCCTCTTTTTGGATTGTTTGAAATAGTTTTAGAAGGAATGGTACCAGCTCCTCCTTGTGTGTCTCGTAGAATTCGGCTGTGAACCCGTCTGGACCTGGGCTTTTTTTGTGAGGTAGGCTCTTAATTGCTGCCTCAACTTCAGACCTTGTTATTGGTCTATTCATAGTTTCAGCTTCCTCCTGGTTTAGGCTTGGGAGGACACAGGAGTCCAGGAATTTATCCATTTCTTCCAGGTTTACTAGTTTATGTGCGTAGAGTTGTTTGTAATATTCTCTGATGATGGTTTGAATTTCTGTGGAATCTGTGGTGATTTCCCCTTTATCATTTTTTATTGCATCTATTTGGTTGTTCTCTCTTTTCTTTTTAATCAATCTGGCTAGTGGTCTGTCTATTTTGTTGATCTTTTCCAAAAACCAGCTGTTGGATTTATTGATTTTTTGAAGGGTTTTTCGTGTCTCAATCTCCTTCAGCTCAGCTCTGATCTTAGTAATTTCTTGTCTTCTGCTGGGTTTTGAGTTTTTTTGATCTTGCTCCTCTAGCTCTTTCAATTTTGACGATAGGGTGTCAATTTTGGATCTCTCCATTCTCCTCATATGGGCACTTATTGCTATATACTTTCCTCTAGAGACTGCTTTAAATGTGTCCCAGAGGTTCTGGCACGTTGTGTCTTCGTTCTCATTGGTTTTGAAGAACTTCTTTATTTCTGCCTTCATTTCGTTGTTTACCCAGTCAACATTCAAGAGCCAGTTGTTCAGTTTCCATGAAGCTGTGCGGTTCTGGGTCGGTTTCTGAATTCTGAGTTCTAACTTGATTGCACTATGGTCTGAGAGGCTGTTTGTTATGATTTCAGTTGTTTTGCATTTGTTGAGCAGTGCTTTACTTCCAATTATGTGGTCAATTTTAGAGTAGGTGTGATGTGGTGCTGAGAAGAATGTGTATTCTGTGGATTTGGGGTGGAGAGTTCTGTATATGTCCACCAGGTTTGCTTGCTCCAGGTCTGAGTTCAAGCCATGGGTATCCTTGTTAATTTTCTGTCTGGTTGATCTGTCTAGTATTGACAGTGGAGTGTTAAAGTCTCCCACTATTATTGTGTGGGAGTCTAAGTCCTTCTGTAAGTCATTAAGAACTTGCCTTATGTATCTGGGTGCTCCTGTGTTGGGTCCATATATGTTTAGGATCGTTAGCTCTTCTTGTTGTATCGATCCTTTTACCATTATGTAATGGCCTTCTTTGTCTCTTTTGATCTTTGTTGCTTTAAAGTCTATTTTATCAGAGATGAGAATTGCAACTCCTGCTTTTTTTTGCTTTCCATTAGCTTGGTAAATCTTCCTCCATCCCTTTATTTTGAGCCTCTGTGTCTCCTTGCATGTGAGATGGGTTTCCTGGATACAGCACACTGATGGGTTTTGGATTTTTATCCAATTTGCCAGTCTGTGTCTTTTGATTGGTGCATTTAGTCCATTTACATTTAGGGTTAATATTGTTATGTGTGAATTTGATACTGCCATTTTGATGCTAAGTGGCTGTTTTGCCTGTTAGTTGTTGTAGATTCTTCATTATGTTGAAGCTCTTTAGCATTCAGTGTGATTTTGGAATGGCTGGTACTGATTGATCCTTTCTATGTGTAGTGCCTCTTTTAGGAGCTCTTGTAAAGCAGGCCTGGTGGTGACAAAATCTCTGAGTACTTGCTTGTTCGCAAAGGATTTTATTCTTCCTTCACTTCTGAAGCTCAGTTTGGCTGGATATGAAATTCTGGGTTGAAAGTTCTTTTCTTTGAGAATGTTGAATATTGGCCCCCACTCTCTTCTGGCTTGTAGTGTTTCTGCCAAGAGATCTGCTGTGAGTCTGATGGGCTTCCCTTTGTGGGTGACCCGACCTTTCTCTCTGGCTGCCCTTAGTATTCTCTCCTTTATTTCAACCCTGTTGAATCTGACGATTATGTGCCTTGGGGTTGCTCTTCTTGCGGAATATCTTTGTGGTGTTCTCTGTATTTCCTGCAATTGAGTGTTGGCTTGTCTTGCTAGGTGGGGGAAATTTTCCTGGATGATGTCCTGAAGAGTATTTTCCAGCTTGGATTCATTCTCTTCGTCCCCTTCTGGTACACCTATCAAACGTAGGTTAGGTCTTTTCACATAGTCCCACATTTCTTGGAGACTTTGTTCATTCCTTTTTGCGCTTTTTTCTCTGATCTTGGTTTCTCGTTTTATTTCATTGAGTTGGTCTTCGACTTCAGATATTCTTTCTTCTGCTTGGTCAATTCGGCTATTAAAACTTGCGTTTGCTTCGCGAAGTTCTCGTATTGTGTTTTTCAGCTCCTTTAATTCATTCATATTCCTCTCTAAGGTATCCATTCTTGTTATCATTTCCTCGAATCTTTTTTCAAATCTTTTTTCAAGGTTCTTAGTTTCTTTGCATTGATTTAATACATGATCTTTTAGCTCACAAAAGTTTCTCATTATCCATCTTCTGAAGTCTAATTCCGTCATTTCGTCACAGTCATTCTCCGTCCAGCTTTGTTCCCTTGCTGGTGAGGAGTTTTGGTCCTTTCTAGGAGGCGATGTGTTCTGGTTTCGGGTGTTTTCCTCCTTTTTGCGCTGGTTTCTTCCCATCTTTGTGGATTTGTCCGCTGGTCGTCTGCGTAGTTGCTGACTTTTCGTTTGGGTCTCTGAGTGGACACCCAGAATGTTGATGATGAAGTATTTCTGTTGCTTGGTTTTCCTTCTACCAGTCTAGCCCCTTCGCTGTACGACTGTTGAGGTCCGCTCCAGACCCTGCTTGTCTGGGGTGCACCTCTAGTAGCCTGTGGCACAGCGAGGGATGCTACCAGTTTCTTTTTCTGCTCTCTTTGTCCCAGGATGATGCCTGCCTAATGACAGTCTTTTGGATATAGAGGGGTCAGGGAGCTGCTTGAGGAGACAGTTTGTACTTTATAGGGGTTTAATTGCTGAGCTGTGCACTCTGTTGTTCATTCAGGGCTGTTAGCTGCTATGTTTGATTCTGCTGCAACACAGCTCATTAAACAACCCTTTTTTTTTTCTCAAATGCTCTGTGTTGAGGGGTTTGGGCTTTATTTTTGGATGTCCGATCAGGTGTCCTGCCCAGCTCGAAGGCAGACTAGCCACTGTTTGGCTGCCGAGGCTCCACCCTGCTGTTGTGTGATTCGCGCTGTTCCTGCCGGCTCTGCTGTGGTCTCCGCCACGCCCTGCGGCGGAGTCTCTTCGTTGTAGCGTGTTGCCTCAGCAACGGCAGGCTGCATCAGCAGTGGGCGTGTATCTCAGTAGGGACGGGTTGCCTCGGCAACGGCTGGCTGCGTCATCAGTGGGCGTGTATCTCAGTTGGGGCGGGTTGCCTCGGCAACGGCTGGCTGCGTCAGCAGTGGGCGTGTATATCAGTTGGGGCAGGTTGCCTACGTAGTGGTGGACGCCCCTCCCCCACAGAGCGTCTCGGACCGTCTGCCCGGGATAGTTTGAAATCGCGGTTTTGTTCATCCCACTGGGTATCCCAAACGATCTGTCCCTGCAATCCCCTGGGCTGGGCTACTGTGCAAGTCTAGTTCAGTCTCAAGTCCAGCCCTCTCAAGTCTCAGGCTGCCGGTTCAACAAGGCACCCGGACAAGCGCGCCCTGTGGGGATTGCTGGGTAGGGCCGGCCGCCGCTGCCCCGGCTGCCGGCTTCGCCAGGCAGACCTACTGCCTGGCATCCCGTGTCTTTTTATACTTGGGAGTTTCCCCGTTCTGTGGGCAACAAAGATCAGTCTGGAAATGCAGCACTGACTCACCGTTTGCGGATTCAACGCGGGCTCCAATCCTGGGTTGTTCTCACAGCGCCATCTTGAGTCCCCTCCCGGAAGTGTTCCCTTTAAAGACTTGTAGGTAGACTTCACCAAGATGCCCAAGTGTGGAGGTAACTGGTGTCTGCTTGTTCTGGTATGTACCTACTCTAAATGGGTAGAAGCCTACCCGACACAGACTAAAAAAGCCCATGAGGTAACTCATGTGCTTTTAAGAGACATCATTCCTAGATTTGGACTGCCCCTATGAGTCAGCTCAGATAATGGGCCCACCTCTGTAGCTAACCTAGTACAGAACACAGCAAAAATACTGGGAATCAGCTGGAAGTAACATGCTGCCTACCGGTCTCAGAGTTCAAGCAAAGTGGAGCAAATGAATCGGACTATTAAGAATAGGTTAGGGAAAGTGTGTCAGGAAATAGGATTAAATGTCCAGGTCCTCCCTATGGTTTTGTTTAAGACTAGATGCACTCCTTCTAAGAAAACTGGATATTCCCCTTATGAAATCCTATGCCATAGGCCTCTCCCCATCCTTCAAGGACTCCCGGCAACCCCCAGGAACTCGAAGAGACTGAACTCCACTGGCAATTATGGGCCTTGGGGAAAGTAGCAGAAAAAGTGTCATCATGGGGTAATGAAAATGTCTTGTCAGCTTATTCTCCCCAGTTCACCCTTTCTCACCAGGTAACTGAGTTTGAATTGAGGACTGGAACGTGGCTCCCCTATGGCCAAGGTGGAAGGACCCCAGATTGTCATCTTAACCACTCCAACCTCCGTGAAGGTTGAGGGTATTCCTGCATGGATCCATCACAGCTGTGTGAAACCTGCAGCACCGGAAACCTGGGAAGTGAAGCCAGATCTCCACGACATGTGCAAAATCACCTTGAGAGCTGAGACAAGTCCTGCCCAGTCACATCCCAGGAGCTGACTGGTCTATGCATAGACGAAGCATGAGGATTTCCATATGGGACAGGTCCTTCCTTCTTTTGAACTGTGGACTTGTGTCCTTACTACCTTAATTAATACAAATCTCCAATCCAAAGATTGCTCCCAGCATATACACAACGTCACTAAGGTGGGACAAAAGATTACAAAGGTCCTCTTGTTTATGGTTATTATCAATGTACTGAAATTCTAAAAGGAACTTGTTTATATAATGCTACCCAATACAAGGTGTGCAGCCCAGGGAATGGGCAGCTTGATGTTTGTTATAACCCATCTGAGCCTTCAGTGTCCACAGTATTCAAAATAAGGTTAAGGACCAGCCCCTTTCTAAGTGATACAAGTAAAGTAATTACTAAGACTGAGGAAAAGGGAATTCCTAAGCAGATTACCTTAATGGCTGTGCAGCCATTAATAGCAACAAGCTGGGATTAGGGTGGTGCTCTCTTAGTTGAGAAAGAAGTTATACAGCAGAACATAAGTATATCTATCATGAGCTAGGAGTATGCAGACATTGTGATTACTGGTCATGTGTTATTTGGGCCACTTGAAAAAATGATAAAAACAACCCAGTCCACCTCCAAAAAGGAAAAAGTAACTTCTCCTGCACCTCTGGCCATTAAAATCCTTTAGAACTAATAATTGCCAACCCCCTAGACCCCTGTTGGAGAAAAGGGAATATGTGTCCATGGGAGTTGATGGGAAAGGGCTGGATCCTCAAGTTATCATTTTAATCTAGGGAGAAATCCAGAGGCAATTTCCCCAACTGATGTTTCAGACTTTTTATGATGTACTAAATGAGGTAGTTCCAGAACTTTCTAAGAGAGAAAAGAACTTGTTTTTCCAGTTGGCTGAAAAATGTGGCCAAAACTTTAAAAGGACACTCTTGTTATGTATGTGGAGAGACCACTATGGGAGACCAGTGGCTGTGGGAGGCACGCAAGCTTGTGCCGGCAGACCCAGTTGCTGATGTAACTTCTGGACAAAAAACTCAAAGTAACAACTTCTGTGTCTTAAAGACTTCCATTGTTGGGCAATACTGCTTAGCCAGAACAGGAAAAGGCATGACAGTCCTGGTGGGAAAACAAGACTGTTTAGGACAAAAATGTACAGTGGAACCAGTGGCACAACTACTTGGTGGAGTTTAAACTGAACTGAAGTTAACCCCTTTCAAAAGTTTCCCAGTTTGCAGGCTGATTGGACTCACCCAGAACTTCACAGGGACTGAGTAGCACCTCCTGGCTTATGCTGGATATGTAGGCATAGAGCTACACCAAACTGCCAGAACAGTGGACAGGTAGTTGTATTATTGGTACTATTAAGCCCTCCTTCTTTTTATTACCATCAAGACTGGAGAGATTCTGGGGTTTCCTGTCTACACCTCACGAGATAAATGAGGCCTGGTTATAGGCAATTGGAAAGATGATGAGTAGCCCCCTGGAAGAATAATCCAGTACTATGGGCCTGCCACCTGGGCAGAGGATGGCTCGTCGGGTTATTGTACTCCAATTTACATGCTTAACCAAATCATTTGATTACAAGCTGTTCTGGAAATGCTAACCAACACAACTAGCCAGGCTCTAACCATCCTGGCCTGACAGGAAACCCAGATGAGAAATGCCATCTACCAGAATAGACTGGCTTTAGATTATCTGCTGGCAGGTGAAGGAGGGGTGTGTGGAAAGTTCAGCCTAACCAGCTGCTGCCTACAGATAGATGACCAGGGTCAGGTAGTTAAAAGCATTGTAAGAGACATGATAAAACCAGCACAGGCACCCATGCATGTTTGGCATGGGTTTGGCCCTGGGTCTATGTTTGGACAGTGGTTTCCGGCTATAGGAGGATTCAAAACCATTGCTATAGGCATACTGCTGGTAATAGGAGCATGCTTATTGCTCCCTTGTTTAATGCTCTTGTTTCTTCAGATGGTAAAAGGCTTTACTGCCACCTTGGTCTAGGAGAAAACCTCAGCACAAGTTTATTAGGTGAATCACTACCGACCAGTCTCACAAGAAGACTCTGACGGTGAGAATGAAGGTGAGAACTCCCACTAAGAAAGTAAAAGAGTGAGAGTCTCAAAGTGGAGAAATGAGATGAAATGTGAGGGTGAGCCATTTATTTACTGCCTGTTGTTTGCTGGTAAAAGAAGTAAAATAGCAAAAAGCTGAAGTCAGCGAGATGCTGACCTCACTGGCCTGACCATGGCGGGCCCGAGGGCTGAAAGAGTAACTCCCCTCTCTGTAACTGGTACCTATGTTTTCTATCAGCCTTAAAAATGTTGCAAAAGAATGTTTTTCCTACTGCCCAGGACCTTCCCTGAGTCTTGTACATGTACACCATGTTTGCATAAACCAGACCCCCCATCAGGAATGTCTCTGACACTAACTAATTTACTTCCTTTGTTTAACTTTTGTGGCTCTTTCCCTTCCCCCCTCCTGCATGCACTAAATGTAAATTAGCAAATCAGTGAAAGCCATAGACTGTAAGGTCAGATGTCCAGCCAATGGGTAATGACACAGTTTTACCTCTGCTCCCCTTTGGGTTGCATGTCTTTAAAAAGGGAAAGAAACTGCTTTTTGGGGAGCTTGGCTTTTTTGGACACAAGTCAATGGATGCTCCATAGCTAGCTGAATAAAGTGTTTTCCTTCCTCACTACAGTGTCTGAGGAGATCTGTCTAAGGCTCATCCTGCAACACTATGGCAATTCATCGTCCAGAAATTATCTGTGGGCTTGTAAAATAAGATGACGGAGACATCAAGTAAAAGCCTAAAGGGCCACAAGAATGCAGAAGCCTCTTCTATAGGGGAAGGACCAAAGAAGACAGATCTATTTTGATCTCTGAGGAGCACGTTTTTTCATATTCTCTGGATCTTGGTCCTACCTCAGATTGAGAGACTGGTCAAGAAAATTCTAATCAAGTGAAATATTTCATTTCATGTCATATTCTAAATTCTAAAATTATTTATACATTGTCCAATATTTTATTTATATTTCATGTCTTGCAATGCACCTATAGGCAATACGTTGAAAATATGAAACGTGTCAGATGTTTTCCTTAAAAACCTCTTGCCTTTACCCAGGAGGCTGAGTTTGCAGTGAGCCAAGATGGTGCCACTGCACTCCAGCCTGGGTGACAGAGTGAGAGACGTCATTGCAAAAAAAAAATTATTCTATTGCTAAGAACACTAGATTTTCTTCCTATGGAGATTTGCAAATTAAACATGCCTACCTCCAAAAAACAGTATCTTGACTTATTTTTCTAGATATTTTATAATTAATATTAAGCTATACTTTTAAAATAATATTAAGATATACTGTAACAGTAGATGGCATTATATCATTAGATAGGTACAGTCAGAAAATTCTCCAAAGTTCCAGGTGAGTTTCAGTAAACTGAATTGATTATCTATACTGGAGCCACTGAACTGCTCAATTTCTGTACATTCACACCTCCTTGCAAAAAATTAACTCTAATGTACATGTATACCCACAGCCCTGCCCAGATTGGCATTACCAGAAATTCATGGTATCTGACTACAACTGAAACTGCAATAAAACCTGACCATCTTGCTCCTTCTCCGACTATCCAATCTATTGAAAACCTTTTTTGCTTCCGCAACACATAGACTCCGACATGTACATATTTCAATTTCATTTCTCACTTGCCACTCATTTCTAGGTCTACAAAAATCACTTCAACTACTTTCCGAGTCATTGAATGGCCTCCTCCTTGTTAAATGCCTCCTAAAAGTCTCTTCCTCTTTTAGTTACCCTTTTGATAACATGAGAACCATTGATCACTCTGTCCTCATTCTCTTCTGCTGAAAAGTTCTCTCTCCTTGGCTTTTAGGAGAGCACACCACTCTGGTTTGCAGCTTGTCCTCTGGCTCATAGCAAGTTAATATCCCTGATGAGTCTGTTTGAGGACTTCCTGTGATTCCATTTTGCGGGTTCCCCTGGGTGCATGTATACATGCCTGTGACTTCATTACCACTGCCTCCCAGCTGGGTATCTCTCCATCCCAGATCTCTAGCTGGGTTGCCAAAACTACATATTCAATTGCCTCCCCACACAGCTCTACTTGGGTGTCACACTATCTCAAACAACATAATGAGGCCCAAGCGCCACATCTGATTCTTTACACACACACACCCAACAAACAAGTTATGTTTCCACAACTGAAATGCCCGTTTAGTCTGCGTAGTTATATCCTTTACTTTTCATTCAAGCCACTGTCATTTTTTATCCGGATTGCCATGATGTAACTGAATAGGTCTCCATACCTATCTTGTCACCTTTCATTCAATTCATTTTTTCACATTGATACCAGAGCAACGTTTATGTGACACAGTAATCAAGGCTCTTCCAAGACAGATACCTTTCAATAGCTCTCCAATGACCTCAGAATAATGTCTAAGGCTTCCTAACATAGCTTAGAGACTTTTCCAGCCCATCACAATCAGAACCCAAGAATACATTCCAGTTAGATGACAGACCTAGGAGGCAGGCCAATCAACCAGGCTCCCAGGGCCACACTGCTAAACCACTACCAAACTGCTTCCCACTGCTGCCACTCATGTGGAGCTCCCACATGCTGACCCCAACAAACTCTGTCTGCAATTATGTCCTCAAGAAATCGTCTGCTACTGTGCCTAGGGAAATTAAAACAACCCTAGTCTGGATTCACGTTGTGTCAAGTCAAACAAAAGGTTCAAGTGGCCCTAAAAGGACAGGTTCTAATGGCCAAGTCTGCATTTATGATGGTGATTGTTGATTTCTGAAGAGGCTGTTGCTTTTCAGAATCACTCACCCTGTGATTTAGTCCTTTCCCTTCTTTCTTGCCTCCTTTGCCCTACTCTGCCACACTGAGTAGCTTGGCAGTCCACTGGTGTCACATCTTGGTCCTTTGCTCACATTGCTTCCTCTGCTCTGAATACCCTTCCTTCCTGGCCAGTAGCTACGACTCCTGCTCAACTCTTGTCTTCCTTAATCCAACCATCAGCTCCTTCGGGAAGAATTTTCTGCCTTCCCCTGTGAAGCAGTGATCAGTCACCTTCCTCTCCCCTGCGTGGACCTCTCGGGTAACTATCACGTGCTGTTGTGTTTAATAGTTAACATGGCCGAATCCTTTCATCCACGTGACCACAACACCCAGCGCAATATGTCCCTCATAGTAGCTATTCGAAAAATTTGGTACTCAAAGTCCACTGCTGTCCAACACAACAGTGTGAACAATGTATTGTAACAAATTTCATATTGAAAATAATCATTCTACGGCACAGTGGAGAAAGATTTAGCCTAATATGCATTTTAAAAATATTGATTCCATTAAATGAAATACAAAACAAATTCAGTGGGATGGGCCTACAGCTTTAGTTTAGGAGTTGCAGGAGAAAACCAGATCAACATAATTTGCATTCCTTTGTTAGGATACTAATCTCTCACTAGGTTTGGTTACCAGCGTTTTTTAGGTTGCTTCACATCTCTCAAACATGACTCAAACTAATGAAAAGAAGGTAAACCATGTCAAAAAGCCATTAGGTAATGGAATCAGTGTCTATATTGGTTGGGAACAGGAAGATGACTCGATGACCCACCCACCCCGCCAAAAAGCAGCCACTTAAAAATCAAAACCAATACAATCTCAGGAAACACGGAGACTGTTCACAGAAGGCACAAAACGCATGGCGCGCCCTTACCCCCCTCTCTAACCCCAGGCACTGAGAATCTGCTCTCACCCAACATGCCCCACCTAGCCCCCGAGTCCACGCTCACTCCATTCAAAGCAAACAGCTGTCTTGCCCACCTTGAACTCTGAAGGGCAGGCCACTTGCACACAGCACGCTCCCAACAGCACCAGGCCAGGCCCCTGTTCGCCCAGCACAGCCCATGCCTGCCCAGCCCATCGGGCACAGCGGACGGACGCGCCACAGCACTTTTCGCAGATACCGCGCAGGGGCTAAGGAACACCCCGCTCACCAACGCACCAAACGCGCCGCCCAGGGAACACAGGTTAAACTCTCACCGGAGGCACAGCACGGGCCCTAGCAACACTCCCACGCACCCGTGCACGCTAAAGCAAGCCCTTACCAGGGGCACCCAGTCCGCGCTCCCCTTGCCGACTGGACTGAATCCCGAAAACACGGTGCACGCTTTTGTTGGGGGCGCAGCCACACGCTGCGCACCTGTGCGCACAGGCCGGCTGCGCACATCATCCCAGCAAACAAGCTTCACCTTGGGCTCTAAGTGGTCCCGGCATCCCCTGCCACACACCCCAGGGATCTGCGCACTGCACCCCTCGCCTCAAGAACCCTAGCCTCTCCCTCTACCCCAAGCAGGCAGGACCTACTCAGCCCGGACCCGCGCCTCCTGCGCGACTGACTGAGCAGAGTTCCAGCCTGTCGGTTGACGCGCGAACCCGCCCCAGGGTCCTACCGGAGCAGGAGGACAGGAGCAACACCAGGACCGCCAGAAGCAACCCAAGAAAGCGCCGGAAAGGAAGGGGACGCTCGAGGCGGTCGGGAGGCTCCATGCGCGGAGTGGGAAACGCCGTAATTTATCCGGAGGTGAGCAGAGAAACTGGGAGCCTGCAGAGCAGGGAAGTCCTTCTGAGTCTGGTTATTGGACACAGCATTCCCCAAACTAAAAAAGTGTCCAGGGCTGCTGGACAGGTGGGCATGGCCTGGGCAATCTCGGGGCGGAATTGAGACCCGGCACAGGGGCGGTGGGACCAATCGGCGGCCGACTGGGCGGGGCCTCGGTGCGCAGGGGCAGCCCGTTGGCTTTCAAGGAGATAGGGCGTGTCCAGAGCCCAGGCAGGGCATCACTGTGGACCAGCAGCCCTCAGGGTTAGTTTTATCCTGGGGCACTGCAGGCTGTCCGGACTGCCTGGGCCCTTACACAGTATTTGCCATTAGACATTATTAGGAATAATATTTGAGTTTTTCTTGCTTGGATGCCTGCTACTGAATCGTCTCTATCCCTCTTGTTTTCAGTCTCAAAGGTTTGACTCCTGCACTCCCAGCCCCTAAGGTAATTTGCTCTTTGCTCTCCTCCCTGGAGAGCAGCCCCGTTGGAATCTAAATTATTAAGCGACATCAGGCCCTTAGCATATTGGGACTTTATAGGGCCCTATCCCTTGAGCGACTAAATATTTTATTGAAGATGAAATATACATGCATGAACAATGTAAGGACAAGGGTGTCCTAAGTGCCAAATTCTTGGAAGCAATAAATGCAGGAGGATTGGGATGGGCAGAAATTGTTAGGTTAAGTGGATAAGGGGGAGAACTTTCTTTTTTTGTGAAACAGTCTCAGGAACAATGCTGGAAAATTAAGAATGAGCAGGATTGATTTGTAGCGTTGTGAGTCAACCAGTGTGACTGGTAAAAGGGGAAAAAAGGGACGTGACTGGCATTAAAAGATGAAACAAAAAGTTGACATTTCTTCCTCTCAGATTGGCACAGAATTAAAACGTCAGCCAATGTAAGTGAACGTGTTGCAGGGGGACCAGCACTCTGGTCTTAACATAGCTTTTCAGTAAGTTAAAAGTCTTAAAGTGGACATGACTTCTGTTAGGCTGTCAGTTCCCAGAGAAATCATCAGAGCTGTGAGCAAAGATTTATCATTTTGGAAAAAATGTAAACCCTAAGTGTCTAGCAAAAGTAATAAGGAATTTCTGGTAGTTACTTCTGTGTGATGGAATTCTATGCAGCAAGTATTGCAAAAGAATACGAAATATGAGAAACTATGATATATTTGTCAGTGTAAAAAGCAGAGTCCAAACTGGCATGTGCCTTCTGACATTCCTCTTATTAATACAAAAATACCATATATATATATATAGAAACAAGCTAGGCCAGGTGGGGTGACTCACACCTGTAATCCCAGCACTTTGGGAGGCCAAGGCAAGTGGATCAGGAGATAAGGAATTTGAGACCAGCCTGACCAACATGGAGAAACCCTGTCTCTACTGAAAACACAAAAATTAGCTGGGCATGGTGGTGGGCACCTGTGAACCCAGCTACTCAAGAGCCTGAGGCAGAAATCTCTTAAACCCAGGAGGCAGAGATTGCAGTGAGCCGAGATCACGCCACTGCACTCCAACCTTGGCAACAGAGCAAGATGCTGTCTAAAAAAAAAAAAAAAAAAAAAAGAGAAAGAAAGAAAGAAAAAGAAGGTAGTTAGAAATACAGCAAAACTAACAATGGTTGAAAAGATTATAGATATTTCACTTTCCTTGTGCTTTTCAGTTTTCTGTTTTCTATGTTGACCCTATGCTACATTTAGAGTAAGATAAAGAAAAATTTATTTTTAAAAGTCAAACCGGAATCAAGGGCTGTTTTGTTCATAGAATTATGAGAGTAGAACTTGTGTTACCCAGAGTTAGCACATGAGAGGACAGTGAGGAACTGGATGCTCAGTGTATACACCTAAAAATGGGTCTTGTAGAATTATAGAGTTTAAATGTATTTAACACAGTTCTATCACCGAGACATACTGAAGACTTCCTGGGTTCACCAAACCATGGAATTTCATCTTCCTGTGAGACCAACAAAAATTTTAATTTTTTTGACTGAGAATACAAGACATTAATTGTGCTGTATGTCGAATAAACATCTTAGTATTTTGGATTATAAAATTCAGACACTCCATGACTGCAATTAAAGGAGGTATAATTTAGGAGACAGTAAATAGGAAACTCAATGGGGGAAATTATGATTTCTGTTAATGTACGGTGTGAAAGAGTGACATGACAGACATGTTCTGTGGCTCAATGACAGCACTCGTTTCTGAAAGCAGATAGTCTATTTATTGTTCTCCATAGCAATAGATATTAAAAATTCTCCATCTATTTTCAGGCATGGAAGAAAAACATATTTTTTTCTCATGAGAAAAATTATTAGAAACTATAGAAGAAACATGTAGCTAGTGTTTGATTTCTTAGTTTTAGGTGTCAGATTAGATTCAAAGATTGGTATTTTATTGAAACTTCCTTCTAATCAGTAAAATTTCTATCTCTGGGGTTAATCAAGGCATTTTTAACATACTTGAAGATTTTCACATTAAATTTGTAAAACTTATTTTTATTTGAGTCAACTGAAGCTTCAGTTGAATGGTTTTGAGTCCTGTTCCCTATTTTTTTGGATAAGTTCCCCAAGTCAGGGATAGAGTTTTCTAATAATATCTCCAGTGCCAAAATCTATAGTACAATGAATAGCTGGTAAATATTGGATGAAATAAATGGTTCGTGTGGTCGAGTGCATTTAACAGGTCTCTGCCAGTTCTCCCCCAGCATGAGTTTACTAAATGCCCTCAAAATTCTGAGAGATTTCTATTTAAATAATTTTAGACCCTAGGAAACAAATTGAGATCTGTCTGTAAAAGGGATGAGCTACAGCAGTCTGCAGAGCAAACGTTCCTAAATCAGGTATTGCGAGCTTGCTTGTGAAGTATACCGAGTTCAAATGGGGGGAGGGTGTCGGTAATGAACTTCCTGAGGCCTTAATAGGGGTAAAACTTGAAGTCAAAGTTTTGACTGAAGTAGGAGATTAAACACTAACGTTTCCTCCAACTCCCTGTAAAGATTTTGTCAAACTGCCACCGAGAAGAAAAGGAGAGAATGGAGGGTATGTGTGTTTGTGGACCAGGTTTAGAACTATGTGATCTCCTTGAAGGGCCTTATGAAGGGCAGTGTGGGTGGAGGTTGGTGTGCGGGGATGTCATTAAACTGTGGCCAACTCTTTTAAAATTTGATGTTAGGTGGTTTATTGCCTCCCAAATTAGCATACTGTATTTAAATTATGCTTTTCAGGAGCAGGTGTAGCAGCATGAATGGGCCTCTATTTGTACCTGCTAAGCACCTGCCAGCCAACTGACCTTTATATTTAGCTGTGTCTGATTCTCTCTCCTGTTACCATCAAGAGCATTTCATGGCATTACACACCAACACAGGGATTGTGAAAACACTCAGGTACAGAAAGAAGTGCATTTCTCAGAAGGAATGGAAAGTATTGTTTCCTCTTGGCTTTTGAAGGCTTTGAAGGCATAAATATATTACAAACTATATTCCATAAGTAGATTTGGAAAATAAAATATTTTATTCCTTTCTCATTAAAAGGGTAGAGACAGAAAATTTCATTTAATCATCATAAACTTGACACTACACACTTAAGTGTGCCAAGAAAGCAAACAAAACAAAGAATGTTAGGACTAGGAATAGCTTCAGAGAGCAACTGGTGTCCAGCCCCTGCTTTTCAGATGAAGATGTAAAGTGAAAGTCAGCAGAATTGCTTAATAATACAAGTTAGGCATATAGTATTTTACTCATAGTTAGCATATGCGATATTTCCCATTATAACTGACATAATGGGAAAAAATCTTTTGGTTTTCTTGCAGTTAAAAAGTTACAGAAGAGGATGCAGTGTGCTTAGATAGCACCACTGCACTCCATCCTGGGTGACAGAGTAAGACCCTGTCTCCAAAACAAAACCAAACAAAAGTCACAGGGATTGCACATTTATTAATCACATTGCTCACTGACCTACTCCATTCTGGACAAAAAAAAAAATAACTCAGAATTTTTTTTTCTTGTGATGGGGAATTTTAATTCTAAAAAAGGCCAATTCCCAAGCATTTCTAGTCCTTTAAAAGTTATTTCTTCAAAATCCCAAGAAATAAAAGAGATTTGCTAAAGATCCAACTAAGCAAAATCTTATCAAGTATCTTCATATATATTCCTTGGTTACTTGCCCTTCTTTCTTGGGGACCTAGCTGTATGTCCTTTGCCCATTCTCGTGGGGTGGAGAGAAGTTTGGTCTTTGAATTTTTCAGTACTTTCTAAATAATAAAGCATTTACTCTTTGTGATGTACATTGCATATTTTTCTTGCAGTTTATCAGTGGATTTTTCTTATTCTGGTTTAATTTTAAATTGAAATTCAGGTTCGTGTCTCTCACTTCTTATACCGCTGTCACAGTGAATGTGGCAGAATTCACCTTTAAAGCCACGATTAGATAGAATTACACGGAAATGAGCAGCAGTCATACATAAAGCTATTATTGAGTATCTAGAAATATTCTGATGTTTTCTAGAGGTCATTAGTATGGCCCATAATATCGTTACAAAATTTTGATCTCTAAAGATGTGGACTAATGAGCACAGTGCCACTTCTTTTAAAAATGTAAGAAGATGGTTATTATTTTGACAAATTTTTTAAAAGTTGTGCTTTTAAAAGTTAATTTACTATAATCTGAATCCATACAAAAGTAAGCTAGTTACATTTATAATTACAATTCTTTCATTTCAATTTTTAGTATATTTTTATATAGAACATAGTACAAAGTACTTTTAAAATAAAGCTTAGAAAATACCCAAAGCTGATTTTCCAAATATTTCTCTTGAGTAGTCTTAATCACTCTTCCCATAATCACTTAATGTCTTTTTAGTAAATTAATTTTTCTCCCTAGAGAAAATATGTAGCATATATTTCACTCCAAGCTGTTTAAAAGAGTAGGTTTCTGCTCTATAAAATGAAAGGAAACTAAGGGGGGAGAAGTATGTGTGTAAACAAGCACATATGTGAGAAAAGATAGGCAGAAAATGAATCAAAATACTAGGAGTGGTTATCTCTAGGTAGCATAATTATATGTGACTTACTTGTTTTCATAACTTTCTTCATTTTCCAAGCTCTCCTTAATGAGCCCATTCTAGATTATAAATATTTCAAAAAAGAAAAATGACCAGCATATAAACCAGAAATTCCAGGCAACATATTATTCCTTTAAGTAATTCAAACTATTTTCTATATCCTAAATGCAGTCTTTTCCCCTGAGTACATACTGTGTGCTTTTAGCATGAGGCAGAAGGGTAGGGGTTTCAGTGATGCACACAAAGAGGGAGGAGCTTTGCTAGGTCCTGGGGAAGAGGCAGCATCTTCAAGTGCACATGTCTGCATCTCTGTGAAGTCACTTCAAAGACTTATGAAGCTCAGATCTTATTCTGTTGAAATCAATTGGCTCCTTTCCAACCCATCTTGAACATTTTATTCGAGATGTTCTTCAGCGTTATGGTACTTTGTCAAGGAAGGACACTGAAATAACAGGATGGTTTCATTTAGTTAACAGTATGGTCGACAATTGAATTTCCCAGAATTTATAGACTGATAATCATGATGCTAGCAATCCATATAAATTACAAGGTTATTAGAGATGTTTATTGCCCTCTGTGATGACTGCTATGTAGGGCACTAGAAAGTATGGTATAAATGGAGACACTGAGGAGATAAGAGAGAGATTAATGAGTAACTTGATTTTTCCCTTTTAAATTTTGTCCAAAGAAAAAATGTTCTCAGAGTTGTGCTACTAAATAAAGAAATAAGGAGCCTTATTCCATTCTAGAAAATGTACAGGTCACTCAACAAAAGAAGTGTTTTTTTGAGTCTCTTGTTCTAAACCATGGTGGTAGCAGGGGCAGAAATAGGAACTGGTCATCTTGTAGGGGTCAATGTCAGAAAGCATGCCCTTTCTCTTCTACTTACAGTCAAGAATGAGCTACCGTAGTGGATTTGGTACAAGTGCTTCCCCAGTCATACAGGAGCCTCTCCTTTTAAGGCCAGGAATGGTGTCCTTCCACCAATGGACAGACCTCCTGATGAGGCCGTCCAGTTCATTTGCTCCTCGGTTATTACTGCCACCAGATTCTTCATCGTCATTCTCCTTTCATTTCACCGGACTTCCCAGCATCACCTGTTACCTGTGTTTCTCCAAACACTCTCATGTCTAAAATACAGCTATGTCTTTGAGCCTGCCTCTTTACTCTGCCCCAGAAGCTGGGTGCACAGGTCTTAATGCCTGGCACCGATTCTAACTCACATCTTGTCTACTGTATTTTGACACAGATGATTCACTTTGTTCCAGTGGAACACCGTGATCCAAATTCCAATCTTAAAGGGACAGTTGAAACAAAATTTTTAAAGGACTTTCTACATACTAAAACGCAATCAGTCGTCAGTGCACACAACTTGAGATGTACTCTGATGTAAAAGAGTATTTTCAAAAAGATGGGGATAAATGAAATTTTCGTAAATTCATTTCTCAATTGGTTAACCTGCTCAATTGATTATTGAACATTTCTCATTTGATTATCTATACTCAGAGATTTGGGGGATATTTTAAAAAACATTGTCTCTATTCATCAGAAGGTACTTTAGCATGGTAAAGAAAACACACATAAGCACAATGTATGGTACACTGTAAGTGGCTAAGAATTTGAAGAGTAAACGAGCAAGTAAATGAATGCAATAGCATTAACAGGCAAAAAGCAACACATGAAATGTCAATTTGTATAGGTTATGTACTGTTATAATGATGGGAGAAATGTTTGTCATTTGGTGAAAAAGAGCAGGATTCAATATTGTACAATCAATATAATCTCAAGGTGTACATGCAAATGTAAAATAATATGCAAAGAAGCTTAAGAATACTATTAGGTGGATAGTATTAATAGTAACTACTATTGCAGGTAACTTTTACATATTTTATATTTTTCCCTATTTCTTGTTTTTAATAATGATGACACATCACTCTTAAAATTGTTTATTTTTTAAAATGGTGTAGTCAGGAAATGTGAATTTCAAAGAGAGACATCATTTTGGACTAGAGTTGTTTGGGAGAGCATCTTAATTATGTGACTTCTGAGCTGGGCAAGAGAATTTAGAAAGAAAGAGAGGTGGAAAAGTGTTACAGGCAGATAATCTGACAGTAATAAGGCTAAATCAAATAATTTAGCATTGTGGAATGTTTTTTAAATGAAGTCTTGTAAACATGATTGTTGTTCTTACAGTCCGCTGTTCTTTTGTCTGTTTCTAAATGAGTGCCTGAGCAGTTAGCCCTGAATCAGTTCTGCCTGGCTTTTCCCCCAGCACTCTGATAGTAAAGGTAAATGAATGCCTCACCCAAGAACTTTGAAGACATAACTTAACGCATTCCTGAAAGCACAATATTTTCTGTCTTCTTTTATCTTAAACTTCCTGCATTATTTATTTGTTGTTTTCTCCCTTATAAATGTGTCTGTGTTAGTGTTGAAATAATACTATTTTTACTTTGAACTACTGGATTAACATTAACAAAATATATTATCTAGGAAACCATGCCATTTACATCTTAAGATTTTTATATCCCCTTGGTACATTAGCCATGTATCCCCCAGTGTATGCCCTTTTGAGAAGGATCAGGCCAAACAAACACTAAACCTTCAAAAAGTAAAATATCAATTCTGAAAAAAGAAAAAAAGCAATGTCTATTTCATTTGTTTTCATTAACAGTAATGACAAATAAGCTGGAAGCAAAGTGACTAGGAAGACAGATAATAAACAGGACATTGCAAATTCATGTCTATCATAGGAGAAAATAGGACATAATCTGTAACTTTGTGTTTAGAAAACTTTGAATTGCTTCTTCTTATATTTTGGTTAACTATAAAATACGTTTCCCACTTCCTTTCCTTTTCCTGTGGCCCCTTCCACTGACATCTGCTGCAATTAGGATTTCTGATGTATGTAGATGTAACATGCCAGGTTGAGCTTAATGCACAAGTATATGAGAAAGAGGTAGGACATAAAGAAAGGAAATTTAGTAATGACTTTGATGCTTTTGCTTCTGCTTTCTAGAGGACTGGTCTAATTCTGTTCTAGGACACATTATGATCTGGTTCCTGAAAATGCCCCTAACACCGATGGAGAGGACATTTTAGGATTCCTGGGTGTAGTCAAAGTAAGCCAGAGCCAAACAAATTGCTCTGTATGTTAAAGAAAAATGGAGTTTTGAATTTGCAGGAAGCCCAGGAGTCTAAATGCCAGTATTTACTGCATACCCTGAGAATGTGGTCAAGATTTGAACAAAGGAGAGGAGTATCCACTAAGAGAGAGAGGCCTCGGAAGAGGATGGAAAGCCCAGGCTAAAAGGGGAAGTCGCCAGTGAGAAATTTCTCATAGTAAGATATAGTTCAGGGGTTAGCAGAGTCTTCCACTAAAAGGCCAGATAGTCAACGCTTTTGGATTTTGGGGTCTCTGTTGTAACTACTCAGCTCTGCTGTTGTAGTATAAAAGGAAGCCGGAGACAGTAGACAAATGAATGGGTGTGGCTGTGCCCCAGTAAAACTGGAATTGGCTCACAGGTGGTAGTTTTCAGGTCCCTGGTATACTAGTTACTTCTTAGTTCAGTGATTTCTAATATTGATATAAGCTACTTTTTTATGGTATAATTTCCCTTTTCACCCCAAACCTTAAGCAATATGTACCACACAACAGCTTGCAGTAAGCCTGCTCTGAGTAGGTAGAATGAAAGGCCAGGCATTCAATAAGCCCAAATGACGCCTGTAATCCCAGCACTTTTGGAGACCAAGGCGGGTGGATCATGAGGGCAAGAGATCGAGACCATCCTGGCCAACATGGTGAAACCCAGTCTCTACTAAAAATACAAAAATTAGCTGGGCATGGTGGCATGCACCTGTAGTCCCAGCTACTCAGGAGGCTGAGGCAGGAGGACTGCTTGAACCTGGAAGGCGGAGGTTGCAGTGAGCTGAGATCGTGCCACTGCACTCCAGCCTGGCGACAGAGCAAAACACCATTTCCAAAAAAGAAAAAAGCCCAACTGAATGAAGAGTGAAAGAAGGAGCAGTCATAAGAGGCCAAATAAAGTAGAGAATTCAGTGGAAGTCAGAAATCAAGGGAGTCGGAGGCTGGGGAGGTAAAGTGAAAGTCTCCAGAGGACATTGAAGTGACGGCGCCCTTAAGAGAAGCTGGAAGACTTGGAGGTATAAATAAGCAGCAAATTAGTGCTTGGGTTCCACAAGAAGAAGAAAAACATACTACTTCTCAAAGTTCCATAGCATAAATACACGAAATCATAGGAATGCTTTGGAAAAGCAGTGACTGTGACTGCATAGGCTTAGAGTCAGCACCCTAAAGCAGTGGGAATGGCAATCACAATCCAATAAAAAAAAGAGGCTCCCAGCTCCTGAAGTACTTCCTTACTTCTTTGGTATCAATGACCTACCTAGTGCAGTATCATATTCAAATCCTGTTTCCACTTTTAATATTTGAGTTGTTGAAAACATTTTGAATTCTGCTATTTTCTTCATTTGTTTGCAGAGTTTGGGGATGAACTCCACTGCCTCCTTGAGAATGTAAATGGAGAGCAACTTCTTTAGGTTTGTCACAGGCATTACTGCTAATTGGCAGAAAAAAAACCCAAAAAACTTGTCTTAATTGTTTAAGTTTCTGTTTTGAAAGAAATCAGTACTTTGCATTTTGAAATTTAAGCTCTAATTTGCCTTAAGTTCCTGATATCTTTGCAAGATGTCCAAAAGGAAAATCATAACCACATCTCATCTTTTAATACTAAGCAAAAACTTAGATTAGAGAATAATACTAAAACCAACTTATATTTTGTGTCAGAATACACTAAATTGTTTATAGGCAGATGTCCATGTCTTAACACATTTTACTGTTTTTTACATTCCTGACATAATTTTAATTAGCAAATAGGGTTTACATTGAGATTTTGACACTTAAGCTGCACAACATAAATGACTTTGCATTGAAATGTTACATGACGCTTCCCTTTTCTCCTATAGTGAAGATATATGTTCTGTCTTCTGTACAAGCAATACTCACAGTTAGGGGAGCAGCAGTAGCTGTCATGATGGTATTTAAGAACTGTCAGTGAGCCGGGCATGATGGCTCACGTATGTAATCCCAGCACTTTGGGAGGCCGAGATGGGTGGATCACCTGAGGTCAGGAGTTTGAGACCAGCCTGGCTGACGTGGTGAAACCCTGTCTCTACTAAAAATAAAGAAATTAGCTGGGGTGGTGGCATATGCCTGTAATCCCAGCTACTTGGGAGGCTGAGGCAGGAGAATTGCGGGAACCCGGGAGGCAGAGGTTGAAGTGAGCCGAGATCTCGCCATTGCATTCCAGCCTGGGTGGCAACAGCAAGACTCCATCTCAAAAAAAGAACTGACAGTAAAAAGAAATATTTACTCACTTTTTAATATCAGTAATAACAATCAGGTACAAGTAATAGCTAACATTTTCCAATATGCATCGTAAGTGAGGCACTATGTTAGGTAAGTTAAGAACTATTATCTCCATTTCACAGGCATGGTAAATGAGGTTTACTGAGGATAAGTATCTTGCTCAGGGTCTCACAGAAAGTGAGTGACTGTGAACACGGGCCTCAGTGGTTGCAGAGCCCTCGCTCTCACTTGGTATGGTGCACTGCCTCTTTGATAAAAAGATAAAACACTTCATCTTTTATCAATAAAATGGTGAAACAGTACCAGTACCTGCAGATTTTCTGTACGAGTTGTATTAGGGATTTAAGAATGAAAGCTTGAAGAGTTAACTCACTTCAATACTTTCCACTGTTTCTTCATCACTCAGTTACTCTTTACCCTCTTATGGAAATTAGAGTGACAGCATCATTTGAGACAAAGAGGCACACTGCTTCAGTGGCCAGAGTTTTCGCAGGATAGGGAAGGCACACTTGAGGTCCATGGGTGAGGAAGAGTGGAGGGCTATATAGCTAGGTAATGTGAACTTCCAAGGAGTGGTGATCAAGTGGTAAGATGAGTAATATTCTGAACGTGGTCTTGGGTGATGAGTGGTACTTGGGGTTTGGGAGAATATGATCTCGATGAGTATGTGTTGAATGAAGAGCCACGTTAATTGGTGGTTAATGTGAACAACAGGAAAATTCAGGGAGCCTTTACAGAGGATGGCCTTAAGAGTTTTATCACTTTAAGCACCACGATAATGGAAACTTTGAAATTTTGACTGTGGACAAGGCTGTTTTGTGCAGAAATGGGAGTGGGTACGAGGCAGTAACAAGAGGCAGTAATGGGCTGTGAAATGAAGAGGTCTAACTGGCATTATTCCTCAGTGATCAGTCCATGACCTATCTTATTTAACATTTATCACAAACTACTGTTGTTGTAAATACACAGTGAAATATCAAAATGTGCAGACAGCGTTTCTTTAACTAGTGAAATGCCAAGCCAGTGAGATTAAATCACAAGAAGAACTTGCCAAGTCTGTGTGATAGGGCAGGAAATCCCAGTATGGAAAGATGCCCTTAAAGAAACACTTTAATTTTTTTGTTGCCTAGTAACTCAGAATATAGAATAAAAAAAGTGAGAGATTGTATACTGTTCTCTAGAAAAATACCGGCTCAATATACCAGAGTAGCTAAAACAAATTCAGTAAAATATAGGGAGAAAAAGAATATTGAAAGAAAAGAGGAAAATACTTTACGTTTGTACTATATACAGTTCTGGATACTGAATTTCAGTAACATAGAATCAGATTCAGAAATGGCAATTGACATTGTCAAAATACCAGCATAAAGAGTTCAAGATTTGGAATTAAATAATCTGGACTAAAGGCCTAATTCCTAACAACTTCCTACTGGTTTAAACAAGCCACTGAATTTCTCTGCACCTAGAGTCTCCTCTGTTTTGGGATAACAATTTTTTTTTTTTTTTTTTTGAGACAGAGTTTTGCTCTTGTTACCCAGGCTGGAGTGCAATGGCGCGATCTCGGCTCACGGCAACCTCCACTCCCTGGGTTCAGGCAATTCTCCTGCCTCAGCCTCCTGAGTAGCTGGGATTACAGGCACACACCACCGTACCCAGCTAATTTTTTGTAGTTTTTAGTAGAGACGGGGTTTCACCATGTTGACCAGGATGGTCTCGATCTCTTGACCTCGTGATCCACCCGCCTCAGCCTCCCAAAGTGCTGGGACTACAGGCTTGAGCCACCGCACCCGGCCGGGATAACAATTTTATTGGGCCTACCTACCTCACAGGTTTGCTTTGAGAACCAAAGAAGATAATAAATGGTAAATAAACCTATAAAATAAACATGTTAACTGTTTTCATAAATACATTAACCATTGCTATTCTTATTATTAATCTTGATTACTGTACAGGTAGAGATTAAAAAATGGTCCCTGCTCACAGAAGCTCATAGTTCAAGGAGCAGGGATGGTGAGGAGTATAGTGGGGACCAAGGGGGCAATAGAGACAGGAAAGGCCAAGGTGGAGGGCGCAGAGGAAATGGGCAGAGTAATTAGGTATTCTTAATTAGGGAAAGCTGAGTATTGAGAAAGCACACAAAATCAACAAGTGTGATATCATTTAAACACATGTGCTTACCAAATTCAATGGTGGTACAATGGACTGAATATTTGTATCCTTCAGAATTTATATGTTGAAAATTTATAGGATCTAATTACTATAGGGTCTCAAAAGGTGGGACCTTTGAGAAGTAATGAGATCATGAGGACTGAGTCCTTGTGAATGGGACTAGTGCCCTTAGACAAGAGACCCCTGAGAGCTCCCTCACTCCTTTTCTCTGATGTGAGGACACAGAGAAGAGGTTGAAGTCTGTTAACTATAGAGCAAGCCCCACCAGACACTGAATTTGCAGTTGCCTTGATCTTGGACTCTTTACCCACCAGAACTATGAGGAATAAATGCTTGGTTTTTAGAAATTAGATAACATTTTTAAGAGACAGAGTCTTGCCATATTGCCCAGGCTAGCCTTAAACGCATGGTTTAAGCAGTACTCCTGCTTCAGCCTCCCGAGTAGCTGGGACTATATGCAGGTACCACCGCGCCCTGCTTAAGTGCTTATTCAAACTGCCCAGTCTATGGAGTTTTTGTTATAGCTGCCCAACTATATATACCAACAGACTGTGACAATTGGCATATTAGAACAATGAGCAGCCTTGAAACCTGCAGTAATTTTAGGACAAGTTAAAGACGCACTATGTAACTTGGTAGAGAATTACGGCAGAAACTTCCCCTTGTGGTAACACAGTGGTGTTTAGCTCACTCATTCATTTGATAAATATTTTGAGAATCTCTTTGTTCCAGGGACAGTTTACATTTGTTATGTAGCCATTGATGAAAATCCATTGTATCCACTGGGCAAAAATCTCTGACTACACGGAGGGAGAGAGACAATAAACAAGGAACTTAATTATTTAATTAATTGTAATAAAAGAAGATAAGTCAACGAAAAAAATACAGCAGGATAAGAGAGATCGGTAATGTGAGGATGAGGGTGATATCATCCTTACAAGGATAGTTAAAGTAGGCCTCCTTGAGGAGCATTTTAACGAAGGTGTGATGATTTGAGTGTGTGTATTTCTTCTATTTCTGCCCCATTTTAGTTGCTTAGGAAGTCTTCAGACTGATTATGCAGTTTCTGAATTGTCTCCCAGGTTTGAGGAAGACTTCAGCCTGCATCTATCCAGGCCTGGTGTGATTGTGGCTCTCCCATAAAGCAGGCCATATTGTTCTACACTATTCTATCACTGTCAGTCTTTTTTAGCTCCAGGATAGATGGCTCTTCTGACTTGATGACCACTACGATACTCTCCACTTATATTCTGTGTTTCTCACATGCTTCCTTCTTCTTTACTGTGAGGCCGTTTATGCCCTTGTCTTTCTGTGAGGAAAGCTTGAGCTCCAGATAAGGAATTATCAGCCCTCCTCACACAGCCACAAGACTTAGCTTATTGGCCACACCCACTCAAAGAGGAATGACTTCATGATTAACCAGCCCAACTCCTTCCAAGATAAGGCACCTCTGCCTTCTGATTATTTAAGTTTATTACTTTTTCTTCCCAATTTTAGCTATGTGTTATTTCTAACATGAGAATCAATGGTGTTTGGTTATACTAATGCACTCACTATCCTGAATCCACCTTTGCAAAGATTATGAGAATGAAAGAAATCTAACATGGCTGACTCCATCTTGCTTCGAGCCTCACAGGCAGGCTGGCTTCACTCGTTCTGGATGTAGGCCAAGGTAACCATGAAAGGAATTTAGTTTATAATTTAACTTTGGAGCAACGATAATAACAGTCTCTACCTAAAACTAGCTCCCTCCTTGCTCAGGGCCTGAAAACTTATGAAAAGCCAAAAGATTAGGATTATGAGAGGGATTTGAACTCTGCTAAGATACAGGCATAGTTTTTATAATCCACTACTGCTCATCAGGAGTCAGGTGGCCAGAGGTCAGAAGATTTGTGACTTCCCTAATTGCTCCTATAGATAACATCACTACTGTAGAGTGTATGAGTGGTCTCTGAGACGTTTTTCAGATTTTTGCATTTGGCAACTGACTGACTCTACCTGGACCTGTGACTCATGACTCAACTGGTCCTGTGGCTTCTACCTAGAGGTGGATACAGCACATGAGGACTGTTTCATCATCAACCAATCAGTAGTACCCATTCCCTAGCTCCCTTCCTACCAAATTATCTATAAAAACCCTAGCCTCTGTGTTCTTGGGGTGACTGAGTGATAACTCCAGTTCTTCCACATGGCTGGCCTTTGTAAATTCAACTCTTTCTTTACTGCAATGTCCCATGATCTCAGTGAACTGATTTTATCTGCACAACAGGCAGGAAGCAGCTGTCAGACAGTTACAATCCCAAGAAGTGAAACAGGCCAAAAATGAAAGTTTAGGAAATGTTTAGAATCTTTCCTGGATTACACATATATAACAGGTGTTAGTGTGGGTTACATAGATGTTTGGGAGGTTTACCTCCCTGACCTTTAAGTGTAATGAGGATCATGATCTTTCTTTCTGCCACACCCCGGTACCCCGGTCAGAGAGAGAATGGTTGTGCCATGGACGTTACTCTTTAAAAGAATATGAAAAAAATAGGCAGGTTTTACAGGACGAAAACATGAAGAAATGGTATATGCTCTGAGGCTGCTTACACTATACAAGATACTAATTTCTAAAGAAATAATTTCATGAAATGGTTATTGAGTCATGTTTATGCCTGAAGATGATTAACATGAGGAAATGATCTTAAATTACATGTGTCAAACAAATAATGGTTAGGCTTGGGAATCTGACCCTCTAGTTGATTAACAAGGAATAGGCCATAAGGGATGAAGAATGACATAGTTATAAGGGTGGAGATATTCACATATCTTCAAGATATTAAAATATATTGAATATTTTCCAGAGGAAGAAATAATCACTTTCCCCATGTGGTTTTAACTAGAGACTGGTATAGATACTGAAAATTAAAGTCCCAACTTCTTTAATTCAGACTTAGTAATTTTTTTCAAATTAACTCACAAAGTATAGTGGTATTTAATGAGAAACTTTAAGAAGAAAAATGTATTGACACAAGTGCTTTGTTAAGCTAAAACGTCCAACGACTTACCTTTTCTTTTTGTAATGAAAAAGAGCAAAGAATATTTATATGTGAAGCCATAACATAGAGAGAACATCAGTTGGGAAGGAAGGAATTTTTAATCTTGACTAATTCAGTATTTCCCATGCAATTGACTAGATTGTTTACAACAAGATCTGCTATAACAAACTACTTTTTAAAAAGTGTATTGACATCATTGTGAAATATCAAAACTTCAATTTCTGTAAAGCTTGTTATCGGAAATTGCACTTGTTTAGACTATTTTCTTTTTTTTTTCTTTTTTTTGCCAATCAGTTTGAGCTTATGAGGTTGCTCAGGTTAGCCTTGAACTCATGACCTTACCTTCGCAAGTGCCATGACCTCCGGCGGGAGCCACTTTGGCTCCCTAGACTATTTTCTATAGAAAATCCCTCACTTGAAAGTTACAAATTCAGTTTCTAATGGGTATAGAATTTGCTCATCAACTTTAAAACATTGCTAGTATTGATTCTGACCTCATTGATGTTGTTATAATTCAATCAACCAGTACAAAAGCTGTGTACTCTTCCCTGTCAATGACATTTTTAAAAATTCAGTTCATAATCTTGGGAAGTTTTTTTTCTCAAGTTTGAAAAATTAATGGTGGCCAGGCACAGTGGCTCACACCTGTAATCTCAGCACTTTGGGAGGCTGTGGTGGGCAGATCACTTGAGGTCAGGAGTTCCAGACTAGCCTGGCCAATATGGCAAAATCCTGTCCCTACTAAACATACAAAAATTGGCCAGGCGCAGTGGCACATGCCTGTAGTCCCTGCTACCTGGGAGGCAGAGGCATGAGAATCTCTTGAACCTGGGAGACAGGGGTTGCAGTGAGCCAAGATCACACCACTGCACTCCAGCCTGGGTGACAGAGTGAGACTCTTTATCTCAAAAAAAAAAAAAAAAAAACAGTTAATGGTGTTTACAATATAATTTGTTTATATATTAAAATACCCAACGGAAAGTCTCAATTCTTCCCCACTGGCAGCCTATGTATGCCAATATGATATGTGTGCCATAAGAGACCCAATCTAACTTCTAGTGCTATGATAGTATCTGGGCTTAGAGGTCAGTGTCTGCAATGTCTTAGCAAAACTAGGATATCAACAGCCTCATGAACACCGTTTTAAAAACTCCTTCTGCCTACTTTTTGTAAAACTCAATTCCTTTTAAAAATGCTGTGTGTGTTTCGAGATGGAGTCTCACTCTGTTGCCCAGGCTGGAGTAGAGTGGCACAATCTTGGCTCACAACAACCTCCACCTCCCAGGTTCAAGCAATTCTTATGCTTCTGCCTCCAAAGTTGCGGGGATTACAGGCATATGCCATCTTATCAGGCAAATTTTTTGTATGTTTAATAGAGATGGGGTTTTACCACATTGCCCATCTCTGGCCTGATCTGCCCACCTTGGCCTCTCAACATGCTGAAATTATAGGCATGAGTCACCATACCTGGCCAAAATGCTGGTTTTTTAAACAATTGTTTTTATTATCCTATATATTGCCTTTAGTATGAATACCCCTTCGTCTATACTGTTTGTCAAGGGCCTTCTTTATAAGAATTACCACATCTGTTTATGTAGCAATGGGTTTGTTTGCCTTTTACTTTCTTTTGACTTCCAGGAGGGGTAAGTACAGTTTACATTTCTTGGGATAATATGGGTATACTTACCCTTTTCTGCACTTTAGAATTATCCAAGAGAGGAAAATGGTGAATAAAATAAGGAAGATTGTACCAGATAAAGTGCCTAGGCAATAAAACAAGGTAATTAAATGCATGAAGACTATGACTCATAGGTTTTAAACTCTTAGTATCCATTCTCATTACAGATTGTTAATGCTTTTTTCTAAGGTGTAACTATACATTCTTCTTTACTGTGGGTTTCCGTAACATTAGTCTCACTCCCACAGAGGTATTATAGTTAAGGGGTGAGCTGAGCTGTTTTGTAACCTTTAGTCCAATATCAGCCTTTCCACAAGTAAGCGAAAACCATATGGTGCAGCTGCCCACTGGCTCTCCATGGCCCTGCCCATGTCTCTTGCCTAAGACTCAACACACAGGCATTTCATTGTGACAATATGGGAATTTTCTCCCTTGTTGAATTATATATTGAACTTCTTTATCCATTTATTGATTGTTGAAGTTCACAGTCTCCACAGATAGGTAGATAGCCTGGTTAGACCCAGTCTACCCCATTCTGTGGTCTTGGGCAAGTTACCTGAACCTCTGTGTCTCAGTGTCCACGTGTGTAAAAAAGAATGTAAGAATACTATGCCACAGAGGAAGCAAACTCTATTAGAAAACTATTCTTCTGATATAGGCAGATCACAGATATGGGCTCAGAAGTCTGGTCTGTGGCTATTTGTGAGAATGGACACTATCACCATTTGGAAGCATACTCCAGGTTGTAACCCAAAGAAGAAGTTGCATTCTCCTACCACATTCAAGTAAAGAATTTTTAACACTGATGAATGATTGATTATTCGTTTGTAATGGTTCAAAGACAGTAAAGAAGCTTTGATGAAGGTTACTCAGTATGCATATGACGATGCCAGTTTCACCATATCCTGGCCTAAACTCTTCATTATTTTCTTTCTAGTTGAATTTACAGTTCAAGATATCTTGATCTCTTTTTTACATTTCATTCATTATAGGTAGGTACTCACTGTTAAAGATGCCAGAATTCCTCAGCAAACCCTTCATAAAACTTACCAACTATGAGAGCATTATGTGCACCTAAAAGGAAGACAAAAACCACAAAACCGTCACTCTGGCATGAAACATGATTGAACAGGCCTCTCAGCCAGTGACAAGTCATCCTGATTTTTCTTCAGCACTCCGTCTAATATTTTTTTTTAATGCAAAAAGCCATTGGTTTCATTCACATACTCTCATTTTACCTTCTGTACTCAGAGAAGTCTTTTAAAAAATTAATACAATTACAGAAGAAAATTTATAATACAGAACGAAAGAAAAAAGTCACCCCAAATCATAGTACCCCAAAAATGTTTTCATACATTCTGTTTGGTACATTTTCTCATATGTGTGCTTTCAGATAATTATACAGTAGAAAAATAAGTTGCAACAAAGGCAAAGTAGTATAATCTAGTAGATGCATCAGAGTGTATTCAGTGACTTCTATTGTGCATTTCAGTTGCTTCTAGTTTCCCATGAAACGGTTAAGAAAATGGGCAAAATATTTTTATATTATACGTCATTTCCTTAGATTAGATTTCTAGGAGGGCTGACTGGCAGGAATAGTTGTATTATTGTCCACATACATTGCACAATTGTTTTTCATCAGGGATTTTTCAAATTTACAATAAATAGCACCTTCAACATATGACAATATCTGTTACATCACATCCTTGCTTTTTATTGGGTGTTTACCTAAAAACCTTCTTGTTGTTCATTTAATTGACAATTTAAAAACAATGTTTTGTTCTTGTTGCCCAGACTCAAGTGCAATGGCACAATCTCAGCTCACTGCAACCTCTACTTCCCCCATTGAAGTGATTCTCCTGCCTCAGCCTCCCGAGTAGCTGAGAGGATTACAGGCGCCTATCACCATGCCTGGCTAGTTTTTGTATTTTTTTTAGTAGAAAGGGGTTTCACCAGTGTTGGCCAGATTGGTCTCGAGTTCCTGACCTCAGGTGATCCATCCGCCTCAGCCTCCCAAAGTGCTGGGATTACAGTGTTAGCCACCATACCCTGCCCCTTTATTTTATTAATATCAGTTTTGTCCCACTTGTTTACATGTTTCTTCTTGTGCTGGTGCCAAGTAACTTTTGTGTTATTGGCTTATGTTTTGTTCTAATATTTGATAGGGTTAATTCCTCAACTACCTGAATTTTGTCAGTCCCAGCCAGATCTTCAGAATCCTCTAAATCCAGTTAGTAAGTTATCCATTGAGATTTTTGCCAAAAAAGTGAATATAATTTGATTTTAAGGGAATGTCAAGCTGATAATTGAGAAATATTATCTGTGAGTCATATTGGTTAGCACATTTACAGGATTAATTGCAAAAATGGATCTTGAACAATCTAGGTGTAGAACCATGTATTAGAAGAGTCATAGGAGGGGGGAGAGGAGAAAGTATAGCACTAACTTAGAATAAGAAAGGCTATTCATGATTAATTTTGCTCATCTGTTCCTTGATGTGGGTAGAATTTTCTCTCTTACAGTACCTTCCAGTTGCCAGCAGAGGGCTCAATGACACATGCTACAGAGCTCAATGATACCCGATTTCGAAATCTGCCCTATCCAGCCGTGCTAGCTTAAAATCCTGTCGCCTACAGTGGTGTGAGAGACAGGCTGGTTGCTCTGCGCAGGTTGGAAGGTGCTCCCTAACTCATGCTGAAAACATTTCTTTTAAGGCTCATAGGCTGTAAATAAATCATTATTGTGTGGCTCATGCAACCACAGCGTGATATAAACAAAAAAGGTACAGAGCTGTAGTGAGAAGTGTGAGAAGACAAAGTCTGGCCTTACTCTCACTAGGGGATTTTTGGAAGAGGTGGATGCACGTATCGTACTCCTTAGCTCGTAGCATACATACACTGTAAATATCACACCACACTTGATGCCAACATGGATCAAGTTAACCGTGACCATGACCGGGGAACCATGACCGGGAAGGGCCCACATTCCCTGCACTTGCACTTACGAGGGGTACATATGGCCAGAGGAGGGTCCCATCTGTCATCCGCCTGGCACTGGCTCCGGGGATTGCCTTCCAGAGTATACCCATCTTCACACTCCAAAGTTACATAATCTCCATAGTGATATACTTTTCTCATTTCTAAGTTCTTCGGGATTCCATTCATAAACTGTGGGAAGCTACAATTTACCTCTGAAATGAGACAAATCATAAGGAAATTGATATTTTATTGTTGATTGTTGGTTTTATCTACCAAGGTAGAAGGCTTTATGATTCCAAAATCCATTTTGCCTTGGCCAAGAGGAAGCATATTTTTAATCAGGAATTACTAATCTTACTCCTCCAAAACACTTATGATTTAACATTTTCTGACTCTGATTTCTTAATGTAAAGTAAGAGACCATGGAATGTACTGTGCATCTACTTTTGATTAACAACCTGCAACTGGAAAGCTGCAGTAAGATTAAGAATTAAGCTAACTGTGTTCTAGGCCTGGAGCCACTTGGGTCACACTGTAAGGAAAGGGGAGTACCATGTTAACTCTAGCTTCACAACAAATACTGGTACTCTGCTCTTTATTAAATACATTATTCTGGCCCATTTCTGCACATAGAACAAAGAAGTTGGTAAATCATTATTCTGAATTTAAAATACCCTTCCCCTCCCCTCCCCTTCTTCCCCTCCCCTCCCTTCCCTTCCCCTCCCTTCTGCTCCCCTCCCTTTCTTTCTTTTTCTTGCTCTGTCACCCAGGTAGGAATGCAGTGGTACTATCTGGGCTCACTGCAACCTCCCCCTCCTGGGTTCAGGCAATTCTCCTGCTTCAGCCTCCCGAGTAGCTGGGACTACATGCGTGCACCACCACACCCAGATAATTTTTGTATTTTGGTGGAGATGGGGTTTCACCATGTTTTCCAGGCTGGTCTCAAATTTCTGACCTAAGGTGATCTGCCCACCTTGGCCTCCCAAAGTGCTGGGATATCAAGCCCGAACCACTGTTCCCCGCCTGAGTTTAAAATACATCTTTCTGATTCATTTGCTTTAGTTCATTTAACTCATTATTTGTTTTACTTTCTTTTTCTGCCAAGCCATCAGTATGTCCTTCATCTTCAAGCACTTCTTTTCAGTTGTAATAGTCTCAAAATTACCTACAATATTTTTTTCCTCTATACAAACCAAGAAGGCAAAGTGGTATTTCTTAAATATTTCCTACGTCAGAATATTCTGATGAGTTTGTTAAAAACAGACTTTTAACCTCACTTCAAAACAGAGTCAGAGTCCATGGAATGGAGTTTGAGGATCTGTCTTTTTAACAAGGTTTCCAGCTGATTTTGCTAATACTCTGGATGGAGAAACATTGCTATAGACCATGCAATGAAGACAGTTAATAAGATGAAATGAAAGCTGCCAGGAAGACAAAATATTACCCTTTTCATTATAATCATTTCAGTGGTCTCTCAGCCCTACAGGCCTCATGCATCAGTTTTCCATATAACTCAGCAAGAATAAGAAATACCGAGAAATGAGTCACCTTTGCAATAATGATCCAGTTGGCTCCAGGTTCCCTGGTCTGTACAGAAAATGAAGGTCTTTCCCACTAACAGGTAGCCGGGGTCACAAATGTAGTTGATTATCGTACCAGGTAGATATGGAGGTATGTGTCCTCCTATGTAATGCCCGTTTTGGATCTTGGGTAGATGTGGGCAGGCTAAACAAGTTCCCACACAAACACAAGGAAAAACACTCAGTTAAACATAGATATATGCACATCACCACATCCAATAACATCTCTGGCTATTAGAGGTACATGAAGACCTGAGCCAACCAAGTCATAAGCCACTCACTCTTATTTTATCAGTGAAAATGGTTTCTCTAAACCTTGACCTCAAGGCATTTAAACAGTATCCTTTACAGTCTCTACCTGCAAACTGTGTCAGATGGGGGAGTACCACAGGGATTGACAAGCTGATTGATTCAGTGCTGTTCTGTCATTACAGGAGGATGGAGCTGGTGCAGGCAGTCACAGCTACAAATGCACCTACGATTGTCAGGTACTGTCGTTTAAAGCCAGAGTAATATATTAAAGAAAGGAGCTATGGAGGCTAAGTACAATCTTAAACTCTGCTTCTGTAGGGCCTCCTGAGTTCCCTTTGTTAATGGTGAGGTGAAGGAGTCAGTGCCTTGAATAAACACTTGGAAACAACATAAAAAGTATAAATCCCAACATCTGAGTTTCTTAAATTACTTTACAGCATTATCAGTTCTGAAGTAAATTACATCATCAACATGTACTTTTTGTGCAGCACATTCATCTATCCAGGATACAGACAACTCATAGTAGTACAGGAAGAATCAAACAAATTTCTTTAGCGTTTGTTTTCAGTATTTTAAAAATTTTCTCTGCAAAATCTGGACCTCACCAATTCTCTTCACTGTCCACCCCCTTCTCTCCTTACCATCCCACACTCCTCACCCCACAGGAAGGGTCATCAGAATACCCACAATTGAGATACAGCCTGCCAATCTAGAACCCATTTGTCATTCTCTTGGGACATAGTTCTGTCTCTGACAGTCATAGCAAAGCAAAATGTTCATAAACAAAAATGACTGTCTTTACAGAAATGTAGAAGTTGTCACCTAGATATTCTGAACCCATTTAGGATATGTGGAAGCAGATACTGACCAGCAGGAGCAGAAAGTTCACAGTGAGGGGCGGGGCTGCTCCAAACCCCATTCCCTTGAGGGTCACTGGTGCAGCGGATGGTGCTCTCCCCAATGAGGTCGAAGGTCATCCCTCTGTCTGGGTGGGGGTCGCATGTGTAAGATATTTCTTTTCCATAGGGAATATCTCCAAGGGGAGTTCCTGTATGTGTCCCATTAAGGATAGCTGGAGGATTTGTACAAAATATTTCTAGAAAGAAAATAAGAGTTTTAAGTTCTATGAGAGTTTCAAATAAGATGACTGAAATCATGGTGACCTGTGACTGTGCTCTGAATAAATTGTTTTCTTTTAGAAAGAATATAACTAAGGTGGATGAAATGTAAATCTGTAAGGATTTGGTGAGAAGGAACTAACTGATGCAAGACCTAAATTACAGTTTCTTGCAAAAGCCTGAAGATGGTGATCCTTGACCAACCAGGTAGCTACATTCATAGTGAATTTGGAAAGTAATTATTTCTCTTTTTAACAACACCCATTTGGTTGCCTACTTTTAATCAGGCATAGGGAGATTCTTGGGTTGACAATGAGGTCAGGCAGACAAAGTTTGGGCCATCAGAGACCGTAAGTTCCAAGGAAATCTGTGAACTTGAATAAACATGCACTATCATCTTTAGCCACGTAAATGTTTCTTGGTGATTCAAGACCATTATCATCACTACCAATACCAACTATCCAGCGGTGTCATCAGACTACACTGGTAAGGCTCTTTTTACCAAGATTAAATGGTGGCAAAGGGCCTTTTTTTTACTCTCTTCCAAATTTTTAGTCATCATTTCTTCCTCCTTTTAGTCTGCTTAGAACAGTTCTTTCCCTAAAATCAACTGATGCTTCTAAATAAATTTAGGAAAAGAGATGCCCATGTATATCAGAATTATGTGTGTATAAAAGACTTAAATTGTCATGCTTGGATTTTACTTGTTTGTGTTTTTCCTAAGTTTATTTACATATTTATTTTCAGCTCTATGGATCTCTGTAAGGTTGAGTTTATTGAATACTTGAGTTTCCTCAGGTATTGAATGTTCTTCACCATAATACTCCCCATCAGGTACCGAATTAATTTCTGTAAGTTATTTTAACCATACAAATTAAAATAAACATTTTTTAATCATCAGTAAAAAAAGGTTTAAAAAATTCTTGCCTTGCTGTAGTAGACAGAATAGGATAAATCAGTAATGTCTTGGTATATAAAACATACTTTTATGTACCAATTTCTGAATTGTGGCCTTTTTTATGTAAGCGGATGGTTTGGAAACGTAGGACACCTCTTCATTTCAGACACTGATCCATCATCCTAGCTCCTTCCACCATACTAATTTACCATATAACCCTTTTTTATCATCTCTACAATATCCCTATTAACTATCATATTATAATTTTGGCATATTTAATTTAAGCACATGGTTTGGAAACGTAGGACATCTCATCATGCCAGACACTGATACATTATCCCAGCTCCCTCCACCATACTAATCTACCATGTAACTCTGTTTTATTTTCTATAACATATCTGCATTTACCATTTTATATGTTATAATTTGTAGAATTTTGTTTCCTTACTTATTTTCTTGTTCATAGTCTGCTTCCCAACAAGAAAATACACTCCAGGAAAGTAGGGATTTGTCTTCACTATTCATTAACTGTTCATGCTTTTTCTACACATGGAAAGTCATGGCACATGGGAAGCCCCATGCCATTAGACACTGCAGGCTAAATAACAGGCTGACTAAATTGTTTATGATGTATGAGAAGATAAAAGAACATCAACATTTGGCTGGGCATGGTGGCTCACACTTGCTATTCCAGCACTTTGGGAGGCTGCAAGGTGGGAGGATAGCTTAAGCCCAGGAGTTTGAGACCAGCCTGGACACTATGACAAGACTCCATCTCTACAAAAAGTACAAAGAATAGCCAGGTGTGGTGCCATGTGCCTGTAGTCCCAAATACTGAGAGACTGAGCTGGAAGGATTGCTAGAGTCCAGAAAGTTGAGGCTGCAGTGAGCTCTGATTGCACCACTACATTCTGTCCTGGGTAACTCTTGTCTCAAAGAAAAAAAAAATTTAAGAAAGATTACTCCTTGATAAGGAAACTGAAATATAAATGACTGGATAATACTTGCTGCACCTTTATGTCATCTAGTTTCTGGCCACACATTCCCCATAAAATTAAGCACTGTCATTAAACTAAGTGATTTATGGATTAGTAAAAAAACATGTGTCATAGAAGACCTACAAGGCCTTTCTTGAAATTCTTCCAACAAAGAAGTATTTTTATCAGCAATTTAGTTAAGCAACATTCAGACAACAGGTGATTCCATGCAGAATAACACACTGGAAAACAAAAATAAAGAGAGCTATGCAAACTGCATAGTTGTTCTTCCTACTCACGTTCACACACTGGAACACTGCTATTCCAAAGGGCTTTCACTCCAGCCAAAACACAATGACTGGCAGACCTGCCTTTTAATCGGAACCTAAAAAAAAAAGTGGTAGCAAATGTGTGAGCAATTCCCATCTCTCCCTTGATTTCTTCACTCACAGATGCTCAGCTTCCTCACTACCATTTCCTCCTTGACTAGCATTTGGTTCTTAGGTTCAGGCCCAGCTAAAAGTCTCAGTTCATTAGGGATCTGAATTCTTCAGTAGCTTGCAGAAACTCAAAGGCCAATTTATTCTAAAGAATCATGGTACCCTGTGACTGGCAAAGCAGTTAGAGCTGATGTTGATAACTGCCATATAAACTTCACAGCCCAGCATCACCTACAGAATGCATGAACACAGAACCAGACTTCTCCATGTGCACAAGAGCCATAACCTTCAGGTGTTATTTTTCACTGATGGGTCTCTGACATCCCACTTATTTTCCTTAGTTGGTCATGAGGCAGAACAGCTCTTGATTTGGTAAGCAAAGCAAGGAACATCTAGAAAGAGAATGGGCATTGTTCTTCTTGCCATGACAACTGTAACAAGGCAGAGGAGGCTCATAGAAGCATGCTGAACCACATGCTTTAAGAAATAAAGAAGGATCAGGGGAAGAGTCTTTGCCACCTCAAAATGCCCAACTTATTATTGAATCCCACTTCCCTTCTGAAATCCGAAATCATTCTGAAATTGGAAATCATTATTAAGTGATGGACTTTGTAAATGCCAAAGATTCCTTGGAAATCATTAAAATTAACTGTTTAATTATCCAATCTAGCCTCAGACTTGTAGGGCACACAAAAAAGAGTAATGGATACACATAAACAACTAATAGTACCACTTGAAACTGATAGAAGCAGGAGGCAGACAAATCCGAGGCAGATAGGGGCAGGTCCACAGTGAAACTTGGCCTTCAAGCCAAAGACAGTTTAAAGCCTACCTACAAGTTCCAGGTAAACCCATGGACTGGATGGAGAAACTGTCTTCCCATTTGGCATGCTTTCCTCTGATTGATGCCCACCCATCATGTATTTTACATATACCTGCCCTTCTCTAAATTGTTTTTTACAGTGTCTTGCCCAACTTTGAGTGATGGCTTTGTTTTAGCCTTTTTTTGCATACTCACAAACCAATCAGCTCACACTCCCCATTCTGAATCTGTAAAAGCCCCAGAACCAGCCACATGGAGAGAGAGACCCCCTGACTTCATCCAGGGGACCACCCTTGTGTCTCTTCTCCACTGAGAAGTTGTTTTATTGCTCAGTAACAATGTTCTTCTCCACCCTCCTCACCCTTTGTCAGCATAACCTTATTCTTCTTGGATGTGGGACAAGAACTCAGGACCCACCAAACATAGTTACAAAGAAGGCTATAACAAAGTGACCCTCCACCCTCTGCTAGAGGAAGGCAGCTGCTCCATGTGACCGAAGCAGCAGTGGGCCAAGCTCACCCTGGAGATGCAGGCCTGAACAGGTCCATGGGATTGACAGAGCTGTTAATACACCAACATCTGTTGGGCTACAGGCATTATCAAATGCTAAGAGCTATTAGCATGCTGTAGCACCCTCTCTGGGGCTTTGCAGTCATGGGCACCCCTGTTTGGGCACTACCATGTTCCCTTCAGTGTGACATGCCTGGTCCAGCTTCAAAACCCACATGAAGCCCACTCCTGTGCCATTGCTTAGAGTGGTCAGCCAGACCCCACACTCGCTTACTCACATACCCCCTCCCACCAGGGGCTGATCATGCAGTCATGGAATGTGATCCATGTCAGAGCACAAGCCAGGCATGGCCTGGTGGGCAGAGTAGATGTGGTGTCTCCTGCGGTGAGCCCAGGTCGAGCAAGGCCTGATCGGGGTGTTACTGGCTGGAGGTCACTGGCTGGCAAAATGGTTGAGAAAAGTCCTGCATCAAAACAATTACACTGGCCATTCCTGACATGAAGATATGTAATTGGATTAAAACATACTTATCCATACGCTATTACAGATTCCAGTATTGACTGGCTTTATACTTCCCAAAACAACCTTTGCCTTATTATGAGGCAACCAATTTTTTGTCTTACCCATCAATTTTTTTCTAGCATAACTTTTATAAAATTATATTCTTTTGCCTCCAAATAAATATGTACTCATTCATTTCAAGTTCCAACTGTGTATTCAAGTTCAGTGGCTGTATTTAGGTTTGTAACTGATATGGAGCTGTATGTGCCATTTCTCATTGTCTTCTGAAAGTGGTGCCACTTACTTCCAACACTTATTTCAAAACTACCCTTCCATAAATAATCTCTCTGGGTAATTCTTATCTACTAGTTCAGCCCTTTTTCAGAATTAACCCCTGAACTCAGAAGAGTCATTCTCCACACTGAGTCCTTGGTCTCAACTCTGGGTCACACTCACCCTTTGTCGCAAACAAAGGACACCTTTACCCCAAGCTGGAGATTAAGTGGAAACAGCACACGGCCATGAGGGAGTTGGCCCAGGAAGTCACCACAGGATTTCACTAGAAAAAAAAAGAAAAAAAACATGAGTAAGGCCTCCATGTGAGGGGTATAGAGAACAATCTGGAAGCCAGAGAGTCAAGGCACCTGCACATCTGGGGGCTTCAGGGCTCCAGTCTCCCTGGGGTGTGCAGTGCAGAGAAGCAGCCCCTCTGAGGTCATAACCGGGCTCACAGCTGTAGAACACTTCCTGTCCAGGTGAAAAGTGGTCCTGATCACTTGGGGTATGCTCACCATGCAGGATTTTTGGAGGTGGCTGACACACTGTGGGAAGGACAGTTCCAGAGTACTTCTTACTTACGGGGGAATTTCTTTTGCTAGATCTTATGCTTGCCAGAGAGTGTAAAAATGGTCATTGCAGAGTGCAGATATTAAAAGAGAACATTGGTAATTCAGTAGTCACGTTTCACTAACAAGGAAATGAAGGATACCAAGCAGAGCTGTGACTAGAATCAAGGTCTCTCCAACACCTTGTCTGTGTTTTTTCTACTGAAACATGTTCCTAAGACTACAAGGTAGCATATTCCTCTTGCTTTCAACACTGGTTATGCAGCACAGAGTCGTGCAGGTGGCTTGGCCACTCTTCTGCTTCATCGGGAGGCTGTCTTTCAAGCTCATCGATAAGGCAACTGCAAGGGGTACCATTGCCAAGATCTCATCTAACAGACCCCTTCACCTCGTCTTCATTTTCCCTCCCTGTCTCTCTTTCAGCCAGCACAAAGTTGAACTCTTAGCTTTCTTTCTGTCTCTGTGGACCTGTTCTAATTCTTCCCACTCCATGTTAAGCCAGTCATTTCAACAAAGGAAAGAGGGGGCATCAAGAACAAAATCTCCTGGGGTGAGGGAAGGTGGGAACAGTTAGTGAGTACAAAAAAAAAAAAAAGAAAGAATGAAATAGACCTGGCATTTGATAGCACAACAGGATGACTATAGTTAGTAATAACTTAATTGTACATTTGAGAATAAAATATTATTTTTAATAAGATTATTAAAAATAATCTCCAAGAGATCGATCCAAGATGGCTGACCACTAACAGCTCGGGATTGTAGCTCCCAGTGAAAGCTCAGAGAATGAGATGACACCACATCTTTAGATGAATTTTCGTCACTCACCGATCAGCCAATTCCCAGTGGAGGAGCCCCACGGGTCGCCAGCGCGACTCTTGTGGCCGCCGCAGCGGTTTTGCCAACGTCTCGGTGCAGCAGCTCTTCATGCAGAGCCAACGGGACTGCTTCCCCTACTGACCGGAGTTTGGAGCTCCAGGAAATCAGAGCCGCTTGTTGCGGACTCAAGAGGGAAGCCAGGCCAGAGATTCCCGGGCAGAAGAGCACCATCAGTCTTATTGCTGCTATTTAGGCCGCCACAGTGGGTTGCTCGGATCCCAGCACTGGGAATCAATAAGTCGGACGTCGACTCAGAAACCTAATTAGAAAGGTGGTTCATCTATAATGAAGGAAAAAAAACAGCCTAAGAAGGCCGAGTATACTCAAAATCAGAACCCATCAGCAACAGAAGAAGCCCTGATGGAAAAGGACTCATCAGTAGCAGAACAAGCCCTGATGGAAAAGGACTCATCCGCAACAGAACAAGCCCTGATGGAAAAGGACTCATCAGTAACTGAACAAGCCCTGATGGAAAAGAACTGTGTTCCATTATCTGAAGTAGGCTTTAAAAGGTGGATGATAAGAAACTTCTGGGAGTTAAAGGAACTTGTTCTAACCCAATGTAAAGAAACTAAGAACTTGGAAAAAAGGTTCGATGAAATGTTGAAAAGAATAGACAATATAGAGAGGAATACAAATGAACTTATGGAGTTGAAAAATACAACACGAGAACTTAGTGAAATTTGTACAAGCTTAAACAGCCGAATGGATCAAGCAGAAGAAAGGATATCAGAGGTCGAAGACCAACTTAATGAAACAAAACGACAAGACAAGAATAGAGAAAAAAGGATAAAAAGGAATGAGCAAAGTCTCCAAGCAATATGGGACTATGTGAAAAGACCTAATATATGCTTAATTGGTGTACCTGAATGTGACGGAGAGAATGAATTCAAGCTGGAAAATACTCTCCAGGACATTATCCAGGAAAATTTTCCTAATTTAGCAAAGCAGGACACTATTCAACCCCAGGCAATACAGAGAACACCACAAAGATATTCCTCAAGAAGACCAACCCCAAGGCACATAATCGTTAGATTCACCAAGATCGAAACGAAGGAGAAAATATTAAGGGCAGCCAGAGAGAAAGATCAAGTTACCCATAAAGGTAAGCCTATTAGGCTTACAGCAGATCTCTCAACGGAAACCCTACAAGCTAGAAGAGAGTGGGGGCCAATATTCAATATACTTAATCAACAGAACTTTCAGCCCAGAATTTCATATCCTGCCAATTTAAGCTTTACATTTGAAGGAAAAATAAAATCTTTTAGGAACAAGCAAGTACTCAGAGATTTTATTACCACCAGGCCTGCTTTACAAGAACTTCTAAAAGAAGCATTATACACAGAAAGGAACAACCAGTATGACCCTTTCTAAAAATACACCAAAAAGTAAAGAGCATTAACATAAAGAAGAATTTTCATCAATGAAAGGACAAAATAGCCAGTTAATATCAAAGGGCAGCAACCCTAAATTTAAATCGACCAAATCTCCCAATCAAAAGATACAGACAAAATCTAACAGTATATCCAAAGATATACATAGACTCAAAATAAAGGGTTGGAAAAAAAAATGTACCAACCAAATGGAGAGCAAAAATAAATAAATAAAAAGCAGGAGTTGCAATTTTCATATTTGACAAAATAGATTTCAAAGCTACAAGGATACAAGGGTAAAAGGATTAATGTAATAATAAGAGATCTTAACACCCAGATACATAAGACCCATAATGAGATTTAGATTCAAAGAGACAGAAAATTTATAACGATATCCGGGACTGGAACTAAGATCCAGACCAAATAAACTCAATAGAGCTCTCCATTTTAAACACACAAAATAAACATTATCCACAAAATCTAATGATTTATCTAAAGATATACAAAGACTCAAAACAAGGGGATGGAAAAAAAACTCACCAACCAAATGGAGAGCAAAAATAAATAAATAAAAAGCAGGAGTTGCAATTCTCACACTTAATAAAATAGATTTCAAAGCTACAAGGATGCAAGGGTAAAAAAATTAATGTAACAATAAGACATCTTAACACCCAGATACATAAGACACATAATGAGATTTAGATTCAACAAGACAAAAAATTGATAACGATATCCAGGACTTGAACTCAGAGCCAGAACAAATAAACACAATAGAGGTCTCCATTTTAAACACATAAAATATGCATTAACCACTTTAAACACTCAAAATATTGATCGGCCATTATTGAAACCCATTTTAGGAATGAAGTAATATTCCTTTTTCCCTCTTTTTCTTTTTTTCCCCTTCTTTTTCTCTTTTTCCCTCAAAAAAAAAAAAAGTTTATTGGAGCAGGCAACAGTTCATGAAATCAGGCAGGGGCAGGAAGGCAAGGTTTTTATAGGGTGAATAAAGAAACAGAGCAAAGAAAGTCTGTGATTGGTTGAAGTCTGAGCCATTGCTTTACTTGGCCTATCCCAGTGGGAGGTTAATGAGAAGACAGCTAATGCCCATGTAGACTCCAGTGCTGGGCTGAGCTTAAGATTCCTTTTCTTTTAAATTCTAAGTTATGTTTCTGTTTGCTTATGTAGGATTCCAGGGTGTTAGAGTCACTTCAGGCTAATGGCCTCTCATTTAATTATTTTAACAGAAGGAACAACATTTTCTTATCCTTTTCAGACAGAATGGTGGGGCCAGAGGCAGAAACAGGGCCAGAAGTGGGCACAATTTTCTAACCAAATTTCTCCATTGGTGACCAGGCCTGGGGACTAACCCCTGTAATTAAAAATAATAATAATCATCATCATCATCATCATCATCATCTCCATGATTATTTTTACATTGCATACCTGTATCAAAACATTTCATGTACCCCATAAATATATACACCTGGCCGGGCGTGGTGGCTCACGCCTATAATCCCAGCACTTTGGGAGGCCGAGGCGGGTGGATCACGAGGTCAAGAGATCTCGACCATCCTGGTCAACATGGTGAAACCCCGTCTCTACTAAAGATACAAAAAATTAGCTGGGCATGGTGGTGCACGCCTGTAATCCCAGCTACTCGGGAGGCTAAGGCAGGAGAATTGCTTGATCCCAGGAGGTGGAGGTTGTGGTGAGCCGAGATTGCGCCACTGCACTCCAGCCTGGGTAACAAGAGCAAAACTCCATCTCAAAAAAAAAAAAAATATATATATATATATATACGTATATATGTATATATATTATATACGTATATATATATATATTATGTAGTCACAAATATTAAAAATTAATAAATTCAAAATAAACAAAAAGCAATCCTCCCAAAGGAAAAAAACTCAACAGACTTTTTCGTGAGAGAACATATTCCTTAGAACACATTTTGACCCAAATTTTGGCCGCCTCCATGCACAGCACAATTGGTGTGTTCTCAGGGCGTCAGAATGCATTTGAAACCAGGCATGGTGGCTCGGGCCTATAATCCCAGAACTTTGGGAGGCTAAGGCTGGAGTACTCCTTGAGGACAGGAGCTCAAGATAGGCCTGGGCAACATAGCGAGACTATCTAAAAATAAATAAAAATTAACCAGGTGTGGCAGTGTGCACCTGTAGTTCCAGCTACCTGGGAGACTGAAGCAGGAGGATTACATGAGCCCAGGAGTTACAGGCTTTGGCAAACTATGATTGTACAACTGTACTGCAGCCTGGGCAACAGAGCTGGAGTACAGTTACCTCTGAAAAACAAACAAACAAACAAACAATCAAGAAAACCCCGAAGAAAGCATTTGAGCCTCAATCCGAACCATATATAAAGGAAAATGAGTATATATCAAATATATATATAATATAATACATATATATGTGCTTGGATTTGAGCAAAGCACTTTTTCTGAGCTTTAGTTTTTTCAGTTACAATGTGAAAGAATTGAAGTCCAAGGCCTTTTTGATTTGATGCTCTCATTTCGGTCCTCATGGCTCACTTGCCTACTGCCATGCTCCAGGGATAGAGATATTGTCATCACTATTACACATTATTGTTCCTTATACATTTGACCGTAGGTTATCATTAGGCTCTGGAGTCAGAGCCTTGGAAAAGTGCTTTAACGTTACTAAGACTCAGTTCTCTGGAAGTAAAATGCAGATACCAATAGTAGCTACCTCATAGATTTGCTGTCAATATTAAATTTTAAAATGTATATAAAATATGGCTACTATAAATGAAAGAAATAATAAACTTTCAGACAATTATTAACAGATAACAGTGAAGCTACTATTACGTTTAGAGTGTTTATGCCAATTTCATAGCTCTCACACATTTCCTTAATTTCAACAACTCCTATCATCTGAAGGTACCCTCACACCCAGCAAAGCCTTTATGGGTCACACTCACCCCTGGAGCAGTGCGGCAGCTTGGGTCCCCATCTGTTGTTTGTCTGGCACTGCACGACGTGGAACCCTACCATGACAAAGCCGGGCTGACATCTAAATCTCACAATCTCATTGAGGAAATATAAATTCCTATTTGCTGTCACTCTAATTCCATTTTCAACTTCTGGAGCTGTGCATTTATTAACAGAAACACACTGAGGTGGAGGGCTGTTCCAAACACCGACTTGATCATCCTTGCTGGTGCAGTATATTGACCGTTCTCCCACAAGCTCAAACAGCTGTTCTCCATCTGGTCCAGTGTGGCACTGGTAAGTTACCACTGTTCCATTGTGAAAAGAAGTTCTACCGTTGCTGTAGAAGTCTCCGTTGGATATGGTTGGAGGTGGCTCACAAGATATAACTGAGAGAAGGAAGAGTATGGTAAAACAGCTTTTTTAAAATTATAAATTATTTTACTATGAATTTAAATACCAAATGCAACTAATTCGATGATTTTCTAAATGGAATCACGATACTGTTATTTTCTTAAAGTATTTGCTAATAATCAGACATTTTTACCTAGTTGAAATTTAGGTGTGTGTGATATGGGTTCCGCTCATAATAAATATTGAACATAAAAATCCATGTTTTTAATGGTATACATATTTATAATTTTAAGTGGATGATACATGTGATTTTTTCACAGATTCTTAAGGTGCTTATCTACTGCTGGACTATTTTTCCTATAGGTTATTAAAATAACGTCTTTGCAGATTAAATATACCACTTCTGGCATTATTTATCAAGAAAAAGAGAGAAAAGGAAATACAAAAGATAAAGCATGAGAAAATGAAATAATGACAAATTTATGGGTAATAAAGTGATAAACGAATACTGTATTCTACCATAATATAATAATGGTGACATATTGGTTAAGTGACTTCACACACATACATTCATAACCAGTACTGACTTATTTAAGTAATTACTGACCTATACAACTAGAAGTGGAAGTATTTTTTATAAAAGATAACCCCCGGCCGGGCGCGGTGGCTCAAGCCTGTAATCCCATCACTTTGGGAGGCCGAGGCGGGTGGATCACGAGGTCAAGAGATCGATACCATCCTGGTCAACATGGTGAAACCCCGTCTCTACTAAAGATACAAAAAATTAGCTGGGCATGCTGGCGCGTGCCTGTAACCCGAGCTACTCCAGAGGCTGAGACAGGAGAATTGCCTGAACCCAGGAGGCGGAGGTTGTGGTGAGCCGAGATCGCGCCATTGCACTCCAGCCTGGGTAACAAGAGCGAAACACCGTCTCAAAAAATAAAAAAATAAAAGATAACCCCCTACAAAAGGAGCCATGCTTAGAAAACTTCATATAGTAAACTGATAATTCTTTGATAATTTGAATTATTTCATAGAATTTTAAGTTCTGGTAGGCATAGGAGGCAACTTACATGCATTCTCATTCACTTAATCTTTAAAAGTCAATGTTTTTTTTAAGGGGAGGAATATTTGTGAATTCATTGAATTCACAAGGAATATTTGTAAATTCATTGTACCAAGTTTATAAAATATGGACAAACAGAAGAAAATGAAAATGGTTCAAATATAACTATTTGTAATAATTTAATATATATACTCTTAGATACATATGTGGATACATGCATATGTGTGGATGGATATATTTTCTGTGATACCATTTTTGGTGGCTAAATAATAATCGGTCATGTAGCTATATAGATATACTATCTATTCCCACTTGGATGAGGCATCGCAACCTTTAATTCCTCATGGTGCACTTTTTTTTACCTTTCTTAAAAACTTATAGCCATTGAAATACACCTTATTTCTTCTATTAGCTATTTTCAAACCACACTGAACGTTCAGGTTGTTTTTCCGCTATCACAAATATTATTGCATTGAGTATCTCTGGACCAAAATCATGGGAATATTTCATGATTATTTTCTTGGGATAAATTCTGGGAAATGGAATTGTGGGTCAGAGGGTATTTATTATCAGGATTTTGTTTATATCGGTCATTAGCCTTCTGGAAGTCTGTGTCTACTTTTGCTGCCATCAACTCTGTGTGCGATGCTGATTTCTTCACAGCTGTGACACTTTGCCAATTTGCAATCATTCTTCCATGTTCTCAAAGTTTTGGAGATTCATTAAAAAATACTAATGGGAAAAATGGAGGGTCAGGTAACCAAGAACAAATCCAACTAGAGACCTGAGCCTGGTTTTCTGTTCTTGTGTCAGTTTGATGAGAATGATGGTTTCCAGTTTCATCCATGTCCCTGGAAAGGACATGAACTCATCTTTTTTTATGGCTTCATAGTATTTCATGGTGTGTATGTGCCACATTTTCTTTTTCCAGTCTATCATTGATGAGCATTTGGGTTGGTTCCAAGTCTTTGCTATTGTGAACAGTGCCTCAATAAACATAAGTGTGCATGTGTCTTTATAATAGAATGATTTATAATCCTTTGAAAGAAATGAAGGAGGATTAGAACTCAAAATAATCAGAGACTTAGGAAAATTTCTAAGGACTGTAGGAAGAATTCTTTTTATTATTTGGATTAGAATAACAAGAAAGTGAGTAGCCTACTTTCTGGAACTGTAACTTGATAGTAAGAGCTGGCAAAGACAGATCTAATTTTGTCTAATGCCTTTCATATTTACTCATTAAGGACAACACTCTCTATATTGGAAAGGTTTACTATTATAATAGGAAAGTAGGGCTATTTGCCTGGGTTCAAGCCTATAGTGTCAGATAAATCACCTTGTAAGATAAAGAAAAGCCAGGAAGATCATGAAGCATCTGACTTGTATTTTCAACAATCTGAGAGACTACTTTGTACCAGGTTTAGATATATTCTTCGTACTCCAGGGGCAAGTCAGGATCACATGGAGGAATTTGTGGAGAAAAATATTTCAACTTACTCTCACAAATAGGCGCCTCCTTATCCCATGCAACATTATTGCCTGAGACGAGACAAGTAGTGGATGGGGAACCAATGAGTCGAAACCTAAAGCAAAGGATAAAAAATAATTATACTCTACACATATTTCCCATTTAACTCACCATTCAGAAAATAATAGCTGGTAGGCATTAGACATTACAGGACAAATTACACCATGGCAGACCTCGGAAGGAAGAAATCCCATCTCCATCTGCAAAGTAGTCCTTTCTTTTTAAGGACAAGGTTACATTGTAACCTCCCCAATTCATTTTTATTCCTAGTCCCTCACAACTGAATGAGATATTTCCCGTATGTGACATGGGGCATGTTTGTACTTAAGTTGTTAGGAAACTTCGCAGTTATTTTATCCATGTGTACCTCTAGCAAGGAAATGATAAGCTCCTGGATTAAGCAGTGAAGATGTCTTACTGAAATACATAACACTGTAGCACCTAGCTTAGCGACTTTCAAGCTTTGGGTGCTCAGATAATCTCTTGCATAAAGGAAAGAACGGTGGATTTACCCAGAAGAGTCAGTAAATGAGAGCCAGAGAAGACAGCTAAACACCCCTACACTTGAAATGTGAAAGGCAGGGATGCTCACCCACTTTGCCATAAAACCTTCCAGAGTAGCACACAAAACATAGAACAGTGTGTCTTTTAAAAAATTTATTAGGTATCTATAATATTACTATGAGTAAGGTCACAAAGAATGCTGAGCAAAGCTATTCATGTGTTCTGGTGTACAGCAGAGCTAAACTTGACCAAGTAAAAATTAAAGGGTAAAATAGAATGCCATATAACCGTGAGGCAGTAACCGCAAGAGTTAAGAAGTTTTCCACTTGATTGTATAAGAAATGTGATCAGGGCAGTAACTATTTTGTAGTCAGGACTACTGGTGCCATCCCCAGTATCCACTTTCCCCTCCTTCATTAGTAATGGAAGCCTCTATTTTTAACTGGGCCACTGGCCACCTGCAATAAAGTTTTCGCTTCTCACCCTTCCTTACAGCCAGTTACAGCCATGTTACTAACTTCTGGCCAGATGATGTAAGTGGAGTCTCTTGTGCAACTTTTGGAAAATGCCTTTCAAGGAATTGACCTTCCCTTCTTCCCTGTGTCCTCTATACTTGCTGAAGTTTGGATCATGAAAAAAGATGGACTCTCATTTTGAGGAGGTCAGAGTAGCAAAATGGAAGGACCCCAGATTTCTGTGGATTATGAAGTTATTGTATAAACCCTGGACCGCCTACCTTAGTGATTTTTAACCTGACAGAGAAGTAAACTCCCATCTATGTTTGAGATCCAGTTATTTTATTTCTTCTGTCTTTTTACAGCTGGGTCTAATCTTAATTGACATACCAGCTCTTCCCAAAACGGTGACATAAAGCTAAAGGGAACTGTGTGACTATGGCAATGACAATGTTTTTGTAGACACAGTGAGTCTCTGATGTTTTAGGTAGTGATTGAATTTTGCTTATTGCTAGCCTGATAGGTTGTGCTGTAAAATCTTTTCAAGTGTGCCAAGAATCTTAAAAATTGCTGCAAATAAACAAGTTGAGAACCACTGGAGTAAGGAAAGAAGATGCTAATCCCATGATTGCCTGTGTTTTCCTCTGCCCGTCTCCTATCATACATTTAAAAGTTGTCTAAGAGCACAGGATCATGGGTGTCCTCTGACTCTTGGCCTCCTAGAGGTTGTGTTTGATGTGCTCGCTGTGACTAAGCTAGCGTGTTAGAGCCAAAACGTGAAGCAGCTTCCAGCCTAGGTATGGCTGCGAAAACACAGTGAGTATTTTTTAAAATTTGATTTTATTTTTAAATTAACAAATACTAATTGTATATATTTATAGGGTAAAATGTGGTGTTTTGCCATATGTTTCTGTTGTAAATGATTAAATTAATTTACATGTCCTCATGTACTTTATTTTTGTGGTGAGAACATTTAAAATCTACTCTTTAACCAATATTTTCTTGTTCTTGTTCTTTTCTTTTTTTCTTTCTTTCTTTTTTTTTTGACAGGCTCTGGCTCTGTCGCCCAGGCTGGAGTGCAGTGATGTGATCTTGGCTTACTGCAACCTCTGCCTCCTGGGTTCAAGTCATTCTCTCACCTTAGCCTCCCGAGTAGCTGGGAGTACGGGTAATGCACTATTATGCCCACCTAAGTTTTTGCACTTTTTGGTAGAGACAGGGTTTTGCCATGTTGCCCAGGCTACTTTCTAACTCCTAGGCTAAAGCAGTTCTGCTGCCTCAGCCTCCCAAGTGCTAAGGTATGAGACACTGCGCCCGGCCAGCAATTTTGAAATACACATTCTTATTAACTATAGTCACCATACTGTGGAAGAGTTCTCTAAAATGTATTCCTCCTGTCTCACTGAAACTCTGGGTCCTTTGACCAAATCTCAGCATCCCACCTCTCAGTACCTGGGAACCACTTTTCTGCTCTCTACTTCTATGAGTTCAACTGTTTTAGATTTCACAAATAAGTAAAATCATGTGGTATTAGTTCTTCTGTGCCTAGCTTATTTTGGAAGGTATTTTAAGGCACAAATATGTTGTAGTGTAATTATGTTGTAATTATTCCTGACTTGATGTCCCGTGTCTGTAAAAGTATTTTATTGAAACCCAGGCTCATTCCCTAAGACTCCCTGTCTGGAATAATAAATATCTTACTTTTCCATTTAACAGAATTGTTCTGTCTGCATATAGTCCCTACTTTTTCTCCAAATAGTTTCTCAAGCAAATGGAGTTCCTTTTCTGAAAGGATGAGTAAAACTTTAACATCTTTAAATCTTTATAAACACATGTTAAACCAAATGACTCACATCGTACATGGTTTTATAACCCTCTTTAATACTTATGAACTATATTGTACAATTATTCAAGTTATTATATATTGCTCTACAATGCCATTTTTAGTGGTTGTGTATTGGTTATTACTTGGATAGTCCATAACCTACCTAACAAAGTCCTTAATGTCTGGAATTAAAGTGATTTCTCATTTCAACTGTCAGCAAAAACACTACAATGCACGATCTTGTACACATGAAAAGAAATAAGATGAGAACTTCACTGACTTCAAAGACAGCCTGAGGATTCAGATCTTCACAGCTACACAAGAGACAAGATTTGCAGATTTGGGGAAAAGGCTATGCACAGTTTTCAGCCTTTCAGTACATATTGCCAAATTGCCCTCCACTAAACTTTGACCATGACCTACGAATTCTATTCCTTTGTACAGCTGGATAATATTCCACAGAATGTATAAGCTCCAATTTGTTTATCCATTCATCTGCTCATAGAAACTTGGATTGTTTCTACCTTTTGGCTATTATGAGCAAAGCTGCTATGGATATTCATATTAGAGCACCTGCTTTAGTCCTCGTTTTAAATTTATTTTCTTTCTTTTTTTTTTTTTTAACAGTCTTGTCCTTTCGCCAGGCGCCAGGCTGGAGTGCAGTGGCGTGACCTCAGCTCACTGCAGCCTCTGCCTCCCAGGGTCAAGCAATTCTCCTGCCTCAGCCTTCCGAGTAGCTGGGACTAAAGGCACGCACCACCATGCCCAGCTAATTTTTATATTTTAGTAGGGTTGGGGTTTCACCATGTTGGCCAGGCTTGTCTCATACTTCTGACCTTTGGTGCCCTGCCCGCCTTGGTGTATGTTTGGGGTTCTGCTCATGTAAGACTATGCATCTGTGCCTTGCAAGAATGGCAGCTTGGCTGAGTACAGAAATTTTATTATACAATATTTCCTCTCAAACACTAACTTCTGCTACCTAGCGTTACAGAACAGAAGCTCGATGCTAATATGAATTTCTTCTTTTTTGCTTATCTCTGGAGAGTGGCAGTATAGTTTTAAAATATCTGGATGGCATAATTTTCTTCCATGCAGGGCCCATTACTGTTTATCTTGATTTGTTTAGTAAGCCTTCAATGATCAATGTAGTCTTTTCCTTTCTAGCCTGAGAAATTATCTTCCATCATGTGCTAATTAATTCTTCTACTCATTCTGCTTTCGTTTTTTTTTTTTCTGAAATTTCTGTATTATATCTCTGTTTGAGATATAATTGCAAGTCTGGTTCTTGATGAATTCTGGAGATTTCCATCTTGTCTTCATTATCCCTTTGGGGTTTTGTGTGTGTGTGTGTGTGTGTGTGTGTGTGTGCGCGCGTGCGTGCGCGTGCTTGCATACAGGCTCCAATCTACCAGTCATCACTTCTTTTGAGACTCCCACGTGTTTCATTCACATCTTAACTTTTCTGATATCAAATAATTAAATCTTATAAATGTCTCTTATAGTTCCATCAATTCTGTTATAAACATGTGACAGATTTCTAAAGATTTCCCCCTGCTTATCGGAGTAAACTGTTGTGTGGATGAGTATTTCTCTGATCTCTTAGGTTGGTTTCTTTTCTTTTCAATTGCTGTATCTTGCCTTAGGTTTGGTGACTTTTTTTTTTTGCTTACCATAGGAAGATCTACGTTCATTCGCAATGGAGGTGAGAACAGTTTGGTTAAGAGGTTGTGTGAGAAGCGGTTAAAATCATCCAGGCTCAGACATAGTGAGAAAGAAGGAATACTGACTCACCGTGGTAATAGAATATAATGGGGCTGATGACCAGGGGCCGTTATTTTAGTAAAATTTAACATCTATCACATTTCTCCTTTCTGAATTTATCACGGCAATCAAAAATGAGCACACAGTCTTTTTTCTTTTTATTATATTTTAAGGTCTGGGTTACATGAGCAGAACGTGCAGGTTTGTTACATAGGTATACACTAGCCATGGTGGTCTGCTGTACCCATAACCCATTATCTACATTACTTAATAAATGGTGTTGGATTCTTCTAATGCTATCTCTCCCCTAGCCATCCCCCTACCCTGACAGGCCCTGGTGTGTGATGTTCCCCTCCTTGTGTCCGTGTGATCTTCATGAGAACACTGTCTTATGGACAGTGTTCATGAGAACATGCAGTGCTTGGTTTTCTGTTCCTGTGTTAGTTTGCTGAGAGTGATGGTTTCCAGCTTCATCCATGTCCCTGCAAAGGACATGAACTCATCCTTTTT